ATGAAACAAGTATCTCTGTGAGAACATTTGCTTAGAGAAGATCAGATTTTTAAGTGTTTTGTTCCTGCTGTCTTAGTTCACACCTTCTTATTTTTGAGGGAAGACACATGTCTTAAAATGGCAAATTTCTCCTGCCAGAATTAGCAAAATTGATTATTTCCCCCTTTCTTATTGGATAAGAACACAGTGTTTTTGCATGTGTAATTTACACAAGTATGTCAAAATTGCCTTTTTGTCATCAAAGTAGAGGCTGTCTGTTTCTTCATGCATGTGGTATTCTTATGTTTTACTTTTTCTTCTTACACTTTGATGCAGTTTCCTTTAGTTGACATGGTGCTCACCTTTCTGTTTCAGAAAGGTTGCAGTCTTTTTTTTGTCAGCTTGGGTTTGAGCTTTTCTGTTTGCTAAATACCTTAGAAAATAGGTGCATCACTGAGTATATTAGAGGGATATTGTTAGTTAGATCACTGGATCTGTGTTTCAGGCACCTAAATAGAAGTGGTCATATATTTATGGGTCATTGTCAGTCATTGCTTGGTAGTTTGTTGTGCATTTCTTCTCTCTCAAAGTTTATGTTGAGAAATCTACGTTGAGTCTTCTTTGAATGTTTTGCCATAGTGTTTCACTGGATCAGAGTAGCAGCAAATAAAGCAACAGTGAAAGTAAACACAGAAATGTAGAGATTTATTCTAGAATATGCATCTTCTGTAGGCAGAGCACAGCATGGTTTCATTCATTGTATGGCTCCCTGCTTCAGTCGTAACTGATTCTGACTGGCCAGCTTTTGAGTTCAGCCTTGGAGAATGTTTCAGGCTGTAAATGTTTATTAACTGCGTTCAGTGTGACCCTCAGAGTGTTGTTCCCCACATTTCGTACATTTTTCAGTCCTGATATATAAGTAGCAGTGATCTTGGATAACATCTGATTGGGTTGGAGCAAGCATTTGCAAAGTAGCAGGGCAGGCAAAGTACAGATTTCTTCCCTGTGGCAGTAGGGATAGTCCTTACCATCCAACAGACAGAAGGCTGGCTTGCATGATCTTTGATTTGCTGCTAGTTACAAGTATTCAGAGTAAGGCAGTAGTTTTCCTGGAAAGCTGTAGTGAAGTATTACTAGTCCCAAGCGAATTAGTGGTTATTAAGAAGTATTCAATGCAAGGATTTTTTTTTAAACCATTTTTCTTATGAACCGGACAGATTCTTGTCTGTTTAACAGATTTTTGTCTGTAGTTTGGGATCAGTGCTTGGCTGGCATTTTTGCATCTCTCTGACCTGTCTGACTTGAGGTTGTGCTGTAACTAGTTAGTGCTTGGGAAGTGAAGACTGCAGACAGTTTCCAGCTGTTGATGGTGATTATGACTTGGCTACCTTACCCTTGCTTTTTAAAGTCAGCCAAATACATAAACAGATAGAATTTACCTTGTAAAGTGGGAGAATTCTGGTCTTCATCTTTCTTTTTACTTCTTCAAAGTTAATTCTGGCTTGCTAATGTGGTAGGATATTTTAAAATATCCTTGATTTCAATTCAATGTGTTTATTAGTTACTACTATTTTTTTCTTTGTTTGAATGGGATCATAAGAGAAGAGTTCAAAAGAAGATTTGCCAGGCAATAAGCTGGGAAGGGAAAGTTGGAAGAATCATCAGCCTCTCTGGTTTGGCTGTAGTCTTGTTTTATTATACCCTTAAGTAGTGTCAAGCTGGTGCACCAACCACTTGGATAAGGTGAATGAGATATACAACACAAATTAACAATAATATTAACTGCATAGCAAGTATTCTTTTAAATAATTTAGTAACCAATTACACAGCGTTATTTTTGCCCTGAAAGTGTTCTGGAATTGCCACCTTACCTTAGGTTTGACTATGCCTGATTATTGCAGATCCAGTATTGCCAGCACACAGGCTTTTAAATCCAGTAACACGATCAAGTTCAAACTTGGAAAAAACCCTCTTATTCCACTGCTTTGAAATTTCCCATGGAATTGCTGTTGCATCTGAGTCTTCACTTTCTGTCCTAAATTACTGTCTAGTGTATATGTCCTTAAAGAGCTGATGTGTTTTACTGAAAAGTGGTTGTTTCAATACTGGGTGACTAGTGCATTTGTATAGACAGAATTTTTTATTTAAGATTTTGGGATTTTGTTTTGTTGTCAAAGATTTTTATAAACCAAGGAATGGAAGTATTAAAATTCTTAGTGTGGGTGTAATCTGACCCAATTCTAACCTTGCTGTCTCCCTGACAAGTATATTTTACACAAATGCATGAAAGCTTGTGTGTTTGATGATGGGCGTATTGCATATCAGCCTTACATTTTACTGCATAGCAAATCATCCCAGATGCTCTACTGACATAACCTGGGCAAATCCGAAGCTCTGTGAAAACTGCAGGGTTCTCTTCTGCCTCTTGAATTTCTGGTGTTTCAGATTGGTGTCTTATTCTGCCATAGGCTTTTATAACCTAATTTTCTTGATTTCTATGCTTGCCTTAAAAAAAAGGGGTAGGGGAGGAATGGAACTGAAAAGTTTGTATTTATTTTACTTTGGAGTTGTTAACACAACTGATATTTCGTAATGATTTAACAAGAAGCAGTAATCTGTTGTCCAGTTGCACCATGGAAATTAAAAATTTTATGAGGCACACTTACAAAATTAAGCATTCAACGTATATTTAGTTCGTGTTTGGTTTTTCCCAAGTGGAATACTGCTTTTAGTGAGGGCTGTACCTGTGAACTTACTCTGCTGTGTTTTGCGTACATGGTGGTCTGTCCATCCCTACTGGATAAAAATATATCGTTTCTTTTCCCTTGTATTATTCAGGAAGGAATAGTCCTGCTGGTTTGGGTTTTTTTTTTTTTTTCTTCTTTTTTGTGTGTGTCTGTAAATTTCAAATGTTTGATACTAGATCAAATCAATCAAAATGTTATTCAGTAATCTACATCTTGAGGAGGGTGGATAATGTAAGGCCTTTTGCAGCTCTCTAGTTAGCTGTTTAGCAAGTGGTTGTCCCTATCACGCGTGATAGTGTGGCAAATAAATACATGGGTAAATTAGTTGCAGTTGGGCTTTTCCTTTCCTCTACAGAGAGAAAAATGTTTCCACTCGCCATAGATACTGTAGAGCTGCAATTGTACTTTTCAGTCAGTGAGTGCTGTGAGTGACAATGTTAGCTGTTCAATTAGGAGGTGTTTTTTGAGGCCAGGGCTTTGGAGCCACGGTCTGTGGGGGTTGAGGGATGGATTTTGTTGGGGAATTGTGTGGGTGTTTGAGCCCTAAGAGGTGTGGTGAGCACATGCATGGAAATGAAAGGCTTAGTGCTTACGAATGCATTGGAATATGGACTTAAGTGCTTTGGTGCTGTGAGAACACTTCAGTGCAGAAGTGAAAGGTATAATGCATATGGCTGTGGGAGAAGAACCGGTAGCTTCTGTGTCGAAATGCTGGGTGCATCTGTCTCTGGATCTGTGCATCCACACTGTTATTGTCAAATACCTATTTTTAGAATGAGTATCTAATTGGTATTCATGCAGATGGGTGTCTCCCTGTCTCATCTGATCCACTCATCTGAGTGATGCACTCGGTGGGAGGTGTCTGCTGACGAATCTTTCCTAAGCGAAGTGTGTTCGTGTCAGTCTGTTCTCTTACATGTATGCATGTGTTTAATTTGTCACAAATGTCTACATAAGTATGTGCACGTGTTTGTGTTTCCCTTTTCTATGCACTAGCATGCTCAAAGATAGTACCATCTAAACCTCAGAAATAAACGATGCAGAACTTGCATCCCTTCAAGACATGATTCTTCTCTTTATGCAAAGAATAAGCACAAAGCACTGCAGGTTGTGGCCATGGAAACTTACCTACCTCATTCCAGACTTCAAGGGATCGCTCCTAGTATAGTGATACAGCCAGTTGTGAGTAGGAATGATGAACTTTCTGCTGCCTTGTCTACAACAAAAGACGACATAAAAGTTTGTGTGCTAAGTGCACAAGTTCCTACAAGCTCGTGCTGCTAACTATTTTCTTAATATGAAATAAATGCTAAGTAGAGATCCCTGGATACTACTGCAATCCAGGTGTGTTTTGTTTTTATGAGGGGAAGTATGTAATATTTATGAGAAAAGATCCGGAGTCTCTTCCTACCCCGTGGCAAACTTGTGTGACTTCGGATGAGTAAGTTCTTCCTGTGTCTTAGAACTGGAGAAAATACTTGCCTGCTATGTTGTGAATTAAGCAAGATTTAATTCAGTAAAATTATGTATATATATTTAGGAAAAATTGGTTATGGTAGGCAAAGCTTTAACTATTAAGAGCTTAATATAGTCTGTTCCAACTCGACATGGTAGATGTAATTATCTATATATAGTATTATGCATGATCTTGGTGTTTTAAAATGAGATATGTAATCCTAGCTCTAAGGAATAGGATTCATTATAATGTCACCTAATGCAAAAAAAGAGGCTAGGCCTTAGAGAGAAATTAATTTGCCCCTGAACTAAGATAGTCTTGACTTTGAAGATTATGTAATTAAACTGTTGTTTGTATATGGCGTGAATGAGTATTCCCTTTTAGCTATGATTTTCCTCTTACCTGACACAGTAAACCTACTGGATTAGAGGTAATCTTGGTGAAGGGTATCAAGGTTATATGGATTGGGTGGTAAGGGAGTGAATGTGATACAGCTGCTGAAAGGACTCTACTTCCTTTGAACAGATCTTGGTTCTTTACCTGGGGGCAGTGCTCTGGGTAAGACTGCCCTAATAATGCTACCATCAGCACTGTCCCAGCTTCTGTCAGTAAGGATGGTCCTCCCAGAGACACAGTCATAGGCCCTTTTGGGTGCTTCTGTCTGGCTGTGAATAAGGGATATGAACTAGGATGGTCTTCACACAGGTATTTGTGATAGGGGGAGAAGCAGAGGAGGAATGCAAATGAGTGGTTTTGTTCTCAAGAGTTCACCTTGTTTGTGTCTCAGGAGTTTCCTTTCTGCTCCTTTCTCCTCACAGATACTCCTGCTTCCAGCACCATGGCCTCTGACCTGGAAAGCAGCCTCACTTCCATAGACTGGCTCCCACAGCTTACTTTAAGGGCTACTATTGAAAAATTAGGGGGTTCCTCACAAGCAGGACCTCCAGGGTCTGCCCGAAAGTGTCCACCAGGCTCACCAACAGATCCTAATGCCACACTGAGTAAGGATGAGGCTGCAGTGCACCAAGATGGGAAGCCACGTTACAGCTATGCCACTTTGATCACATATGCTATCAACTCATCGCCTGCCAAGAAGATGACGCTTAGTGAGATCTACCGTTGGATCTGTGACAACTTTCCCTACTACAAAAATGCTGGTATTGGTTGGAAGGTGAGGGCTTGCACTAAAATACTCTTTTTGCCTAATTACAAGACTTATTTTCTTAATTCTGTGCAAAATACCCCCACTGAGAAAAACAAGACAGCTGTAAAACTAAGTTGAGCGACTGGAGAAAATGCAGAGATAGGAGTCCCATTTTCTCTGAGAATTTTGTTGTATGTGGTGCTTCCTTAAGAAGGAGTGTGCAAAGGAATTCCACTAACAACTATGAAGAAAAACAAAACAAAAAAACCCCACAAAACCCACGTTCCTACCAAGCTCTGCATCATTTTTCTATTTTCACTGCACCTTCTGTAGATGTAGGGGTGGTTCAGCCCCATATTATCATCTAATCCATCTCTCTTTCCACAGCTTCTGTTCTGCTCCATTCCAGGTATATGTAGTGAGCTTTGGCTTTTGAGTATGCACCATTCTATTTTCTCTACCTGTTCCAGGGCATACTCAGAAGACTGTATGTTTTTGTTGTAGCACTTACCCATATCTCCTACTCTCTCATCAGAACTCTATTCGTCATAACCTCTCTCTGAATAAATGTTTTCGAAAGGTGCCTCGACCGAGAGATGATCCAGGGAAGGTAAGAAATCAGCATGCTCCTGGACAAGCAATTTAAAACTGCAGGGGATAACCTGGGGTTGCCCTTTCTAACTCATGGTTGGAATTTGAAACCTAAAGTGTAGGCAAAAATGGAAGCAGTAGTAAGATTTACTGCAGTCCTTTGGCTACAGACACATTTACTTAAAGGGAACCTCTAAAGGGGCCCTGGTGGTTTTAGTAATTATTTTTCCTATCTGTGATCTTCAGTTGACTTTAAAGATACTGTAAGAAGTCAAAAATGGGGTTGAATCTACCTTACTAGTTTTGTTTCTTTTTCTTCTTGATCTCTCTGTAAAATGTGGGTCTAGTACAACCTGTTCTGTTATGAAAGATCATAGTGACTATTGGTGAACAGCAGGATTATGATGTGACAATCATGAATTTCCTGGAGGCAAGATCTATGAAAGTGAGAGCAGAACCTAGACTGCAAAATATTTAGTGCTGGGAAAAAAATATCATCATCACATCGTTTAAATCTGTAGAAATCATTTACAAGTAAAACTCAAGAATTTAGGAATTTGTTGGCCAAGTAAAGGCTAATAAAGCTCTGATAGTACATATAGATTGTAAAGGGGATTGCTAGCAAAACCAAAACTTGGCAGATATTATTGTTTAAAAAAACTCACAATTAAACAAGCTGAAGGAGATGGTGGGGGCAAGAAGTTATGTATCTAGACAGAAAGATTGTCTCTTCCCCCTCATCCTGAAGTTATCAGAAAGGACCACTTGCTTAGGCCTTTTATTTCAGGTTATATTTAAAGGACTACGTGGTCTCAATTGGTGTTTATAAATTGAAGTAGTAGATCTTTGAAGATCACTGCTCAAAAATATAATTGATTATATGCCTTACTCCAGGAAATCCTAACTGACTTAAGGGTATATGTTTGCAGGTGTCCATTGGCACATTGGGCTGGGTTTATAATGAAAACATGTTCTGTGCTTTATACTTATTCAGATTATTCAGATTTCAATTAGAGGTTAAAATGAGCTAAATTACACTCTGGAATTCTCTTTATACTTATTCAGAAAAGAACACACATTATTATAGACTATTTTGTGTTGAAAGGGACCTCTGGAGGTCAACATGCACCCCCACCCCCACTCCCAGGCAGGAACAATTAGATTAGGTTCTTGAGGGTTTTGTTGGATTTTGAGTATCTCCAAGGATAGATATAGCAAAACTGGCCACTTGTTCCAGTGCTGTACCACCAACATTGTGAAGAATTTTTTCTTCATATCTGACTGTACTTTCCCTTGCTGTAAGTTGTATTTGTTGCCTCTTATTCTTGTGCTGTACATTTTTAAGAAGAATTTGATTCTGTCATATTTTATTTCCCTACACAGTTGAAGACAGTGGTTAGATCCCCTTAGCTTTCTCTTGTCCCAGCTAAACAGATCTCTTCTGTGAACTGCTTGTACATTATATGTTTTAGTTCCTAATCGTTGTGGTGACCCTTTTGTGGGTGCATTCTAGTATGTCAGTATCTGTCTTGCATGGGAACCCCCCAAATGGGCAGAGCACTCAAACTGGAATTTCAGAACCATGGAAAAAGAACGATCCTTCTAGCTGTCTGCCAAATCAGAATATTGAGTTGGATCTCACCAGTCAATAACAAATTCAAGTTGGGAGGAAGCTACTGAAGGGAGTGTGCAGGCCCAAAGAGTTCACCTAGCTTGGATCAAACCATCCTTTTGGTGTCCTGTCACAGAGTGATGGAAAAGTGGAGTATTCTGCCTTCCACCAGTAGCATTGTATCTCATTGTTCTGTGCAACTCAGTGCAAGAGAGGAATCTCTGTACAACACCCAAGTCTCTGTCTGATGTTTTAGAGGGTGGTCCATGTGGTCTTAATGTTTAGTTGGTGCTACATTCTGTGAGTCAGTAGTCCCCTGCTTCAGGAAGCTCTGTGATTTAATCATGCATTCACCAATGGATCTTCTTCCAGGGCTCTTATTGGACAATAGATACATGTCCAGATATATCTCGCAAGAGGCGGCATCCTCCAGATGATGACGTGAGTGTTTTCCTTTCCAGACAGCATGGAGCGGGGTGGGAATTCCCTTCTGGTTTCAAGGAGTCCTTCCAGCACCAGACCATGGTAGTGTTTTGGGGGCAGGGTGTACAGATGGGGAGACAAAGGCTAGGAAAGAATGAACTAGTGTGTTTGTCCTGCTGATTGGCTGTTGGTGCTGCTATTCAGTAGCAAAATTAATCTCGTGTAAAGTCCCTTATCCTGACTTCTCAGTGACTAAGGCCCAGTCCTCCTCTTTTTTAAGCCATGGACTTCTACAGCGGGGGAGCTGGCTTCCCATCTGCAGTTTCACTTCTCCATCTGTTTTTGATTTCTGATCCTTTCCTTTTCTCTTTCTTCCCCATCCACAGATACCGCAAGACTCCCCGGAACAAGAGGCAAGTAAAAGCCCCCGAGGGGCTGTTCCAGTCAGCACAGAAGCCTCTTTACCACCTGAGGCCACCCCTCAGATGTCGATCCAGAGCACCACCCCCATTGCCAACTACAGTCAGGTGAGCAGCAGGGGAAAAGATAAAGTGGGAGGAACAGCACGGGGGAGGATGCATGAATGGAAAAGTGGTGAGGAGAGGGAATTGTGAAAATTGTGATATGGAGGCAAAAATAAAAAGAAGGGAAAGAGCTGAAATTGCAGAGATAGAAAATAAGGAGGAAGTGAATTTTAGCAAAGGGCTGGATGGGGATAAGGATAAAGGCATAATGATATTAGATAGCTGAAGAAAATGCTGGAGCCACTGGGCTGCAGAGGGAGGGAAGTGGTTGGTATTCTGCAAGGAAAATGGCATTAGGGAAGATTTGCTGGGGGATGAGCTAAGTGATATGGGACATCAGTGCATGTTCTATGTGTATCTAGTCTCTGGATCTCTGTCTCAAGTTACAAAAACTAGTACAAGCTAAAGGCCTTATTTCTTGCTCCCTTAGCAGGGTGCAGGGCCTGTGGATGTTGCCTCTACAGTAGCCGGGGGGCAGGGCCGTGAAGGGGCTGATGTGCCACCCCCACTGTACAGTGCCAACCATGACTTCAAGTTCTCCTACTCTGAGATCAACTTCCAGGATCTTAGCTGGTCCTTCCGAAATCTCTACAAATCCATGCTGGAGAAATCATCTTCCTCTCAGCACGGTGAGTAACTGCATGCGTCATGTGGGGTGGGCAGGTATCTGCCCACACAGTCTTGTCCATTTGGCGTCTCTCAGATCTTTCCTCACTTTGGAGCCTGTGCAAACAGACGTTCCTTCTTTGGCATGCTGTAATTACTTCTGCCAGGAGCAGATAAGAAATTTGCACGTCCTTTATCTATTGCTCCCCCTAGTTCTCTTAGAATAAAGAGGATCGTGATTTAAAAATACCTTCTGTTGATACAAATGCAAGTACTGAAATGGCAGAAACTGAAAGAAATTAAGTCCTGAAGAAAAGCACGTCGGAGAAATATTCACAGTCTGTCAGGCTAGAAACCATAAGAGGGAGGAGATTGTTGCATGTGGAGTTTCTCCAGGAGAGTGGAAAGTCTTCATTGCTCAGATCTGTTAAAACTAGGTTTGTACAATGCCGTGGAGAACTGTGCTTCTTAGTTTGAGAGCACGGAAGAGAGAGCCCCCAACTCTATTCATAGCTTGCATTTCTGGGATTGAGGAAGCAGCCACCAGAGGGCAGAATCGCTGCAGGGATGAGATGTCCACGGAAAACACTTCAGAAAAGCCTACAGTTCTTCCCGCCTTTAAATACTTCTAAATACTAATCTGGAATAAAAAGGAATATGTTATTACATGAGCCTTTCACCTGTGCTGCTAGCCATCACACCGTGCAGGCAAAGTTTGCCACTCTAGGAGGAGCCTCCTGAGCTTGTATCTTACGTGAAATAAAAATTTATATACTTCTACTGCTTCCATTCTGCTGGCACTTGAGATTCCTAGTAGGAATGTGTGAGGTGTTGCAGGATGAGCAAGCTACAAAAATGTAGAGAAGAATTTGAGTTGGTGTGTTCCTCTGTTTTTGCAAACTTAGCAGTAGTCTGTTTTTTCCCCTCTCCAAGTCTTAGGCTGTAAGGCACTCTAGGAAAACATGCAGTTTTTGAGGAAATTTTGTAGGCAACTTTGGAGTCAGGATGGCAGTATTCATCCTTTTGCCACATTGCAGTAGTAGGAAGCTCTGATCTTGAATCAAGGTTTGATCTTGAATGTAGTGAAAACCTGAGGCTTGGTTGCAGATGGTCAGGTAAGGGTACTCAAAGTGAGTAGCTCAGGTTGTCCCTGTGATTTTTTTTCACAGAGGTTCCACAATGTGTGGGGAGAATGAACCAGGGAAGCAGACATAAGAGATATGCTGAGCTCCTGGTATTGGGGAATAGTGGAGAACAACTGATGCTCCTGCATCAGGGGATGCCTGAAATGCAGGAAGATAGAAATTACACACCCAATGAGTCAGGAGGAATGAAAGTCATGAAGGAGCCCTGATGTGTACAATGTGATCTGTGTACAAAAGCAGAGCCTTTTATGTGTGTGAGAAAAATTGGGAAGATTCCTGGCCAAGCTGCTTGTAGAAGGGGCCTGAATGGAGCCCTGGGAAACAGCAAGTCAGATGTATCAAGTTATCTGTTTTCTAAATGTTTTGTTGTTTAAGTTTGCTTAGTGGTCATTTATGGGAAAACAACATGTGCATGACATTTCAGGAGAGCATGAGTTACTTTGGCAAATGTAGGAAAAATCCAGGGAGGAATTTAATTACCTAACTCTGTACTAAAATCCTGCTGGGTCTTTGTTGTAGAGCCTTTTGTTTTGAACAGAGTCTGGAGTGCAGCAAGTGCGTAATTGCACAGGTCGTGGTTGTTGGCAGCCAGTAGAGGGAACTCCAAAAGCGTCATAAATAGCGGGATGAGCAGTGTGAAGTTGGATAATGTAAGCAGAGGTCTGATTCAGGCTGCTCTTAAAGCTCCCTCCTCTTTCGTTTACTTGGCAGGTTTCTCTTCACTCCTTGGTGACATGCAGCCCTCCAACCACAATTATTACATGTACCAGCAGCAGCAGCAGCAAGGCCCCTCCTCAGTGGGTGCTGCTCCCCCACTCCACACTCCAACCCCAGAGGGTTGCCCATCCCAAGGCGGAAAGCAGCAGGGTGGTGAGGGTTATGGCCCTCCACCAGTGATGTCCATGCACCCGCCCCCAATGCAGCATGGAGGCTACCACCAGCATCAACAACATCACCCGCACTCCCACCCACAGCAGCAGCCACACCAGCACCAGCAGCAGCAGCAGTCACAGGCTTCAATCAACAGTGCTGGCTTTGGTGAGTCAGGGGCAATGGAAAACACAGCAGGGAAAATGGGAGCAGTGAGGAGCCCCCAGACAGAAATTCCAGAAGTGAGCTTTCCCTAGGTAGTGCCTAGATTGTGTGTAGAAAATGGGTGAAAGCCAGTTAAGGTTGAAATCTGAGAGGGAAATTACCTCCCTACTGAAGGGGAAAGGAGGCTAGATCCACCCTGGATTTGGGATTCTGTTTAGAGATGCAAGATAAAGTCAGGGCCTCAGTGGGAAAGGAGGCACCATCCCTAGTCTTCCATCGGAGAAAGGATTTCTAGCTACTGTGGCATCAGGCTCTTTGGTGAAGAGGGACCAATCTTTTCCTATTAAAGGGTGGAGGGAAAGGGCAATCTGCATTGGATTAATGTTGTCCCTGTTTCATTCCAGCGTTTCCCCCTGATTGGTGCTCCAACATTGATTCCCTGAAGGAAAGCTTCAAGATGGTAAACCGGCTGAACTGGTCTAGCATTGAGCACTCCCAATTCTCAGGTCAGTGTTGGCCTAGTGACTAGAGTTAGTGACTCAGTGATTAGGGCTGTAGTCTAGAACATGTGAGTGCTGTGTCAAGATCTTTTTTCAATGTATCTGTGTCAAGTCCATTGGTTTCTCAGACTCACCTTATTTCTAAAATGAGGTGTCCTACTTCATGGGTTCTGTTTAAGATCCTGAAGCATTTGAATGAATACTGCAGGAATTTGGGGCAAGGGGAATTAATTCATAAAAGTATGTCAGAAAGCTGAGATTTTTCCCTCCAACTCTCCCCTCCCTCACCTGAGTCAGTGAGACAGTATCCTTAGATATGGAGCTCTCCAGGTGTTCGGTGACAGATTTGAAGCACTGAAGTTGGGTTTGTGAGGAGGAGGTAGGATTTAGGGACAGAAGACAGAAACACTTTGCAGGGAAGATGACAGCGTGACTGCTGTCTTTGACATTGTCCCCTATCCCCCACAGAGCTGATGGAGAGTCTGCGCCAGGCTGAGCGGAAGAACTGGACGCTGGATCAACATCATATTGCCAACCTCTGTGACTCCCTTAATCACTTCCTTACCCAGACTGGTCAGCTCCCTCATCTGGTTGGCCCACAGCAGCCCCCTCGAATCTCTGATTCTTGTGCCCTGAACAGTGGCAAACAGGAGCAATCCATGAACCAAGGTAATTAGGCAGAGACTAAAATGATATGTAAATGAAGGCCCAATTCTGTGAATATCCTAAATTACTTACAGTCTTGCCAGGCAATATAGCACTGAGCAACTCAGAGCTAGGCTGTCAGAGGTGTTCATAGCAACTCAGCTTTCTCTGGCTTTAAGGAATTGGGTTGTCCTATGCCTGTGGCCTGGACTGACTGCTATTATTTGATGCATACCGTTGACAGGCAACCTATCCAGGCAGAAATATATTTAAAAGGTAAACCCATAAAAAGGAGAAGGGAGTGGTATTTTTTTAAGTAACCATCAGAAAGAAATGGCCAGTAGAGAGATTGCTATTCCAGATGGCATGAGCTGTAAAGGAGAAAGTGCTTGCACCCGTGTTGGAGAAATACTGACTGAACAAGGAGTAGGAGGATGCACTCTGAGGAGAGCACAGGAGATACTGTGGTCTTGATAGAACTGTGATGGTGTGTGTCATCTAGTACTGAACTAAGTGGATAATATTGAGCCAGCTTGTGGTGTTTCTGGATGAAAATTTTCTTCTTTTACAATAATAGAGAAACTCCTGCTGGTTCCAAGAACAAGATCCCAGACCAAGCTATAGCTTGCAGTTAGGACCCAACAGCTGAACATCTCCTCAGTATCCCGTGGGTCTGAGTGAGTTGCTCTGTGGCTGAGCTGCCACCCAGTCAGGGTCAAGACTGTTGACCAGAACCTTAACAGTTGTTTTTGTTTTGTTTTGTTTTGTTTTTTACCTCATTTCCTTTCACAGTGAACTCCTATGGTCAGCCCCAGCCTCCCCATCTCTTCTCCGGGCCATCTCCTATGTACCAGATTTCCACCCAGGACTCTCCAGGATATAATCGCCCAGGTAAGGAGTGACATTAAGGCATATTATAGCAATGAGCATTAAAGAATTGGTTTCCAACCCCTTTGTGTGTTTCTCCCAAAGCATTTAGTAATCAAATGGAGCACTGCAGGTAGAGAGGGAGGCTGGACTGAAAAAACCCCTCTGTTTAGGGTTCTGCCATAGCTTTGGAAAGGTTTAAGGTGTCAGTGGCCTGATATCTTTCACTTCACATAGACAGTCTCCCAGTTCAGCCTCACCCTCAGTTGGTTGCTTGAAGGCAACTTTATATGAGAAGCTTCTGTTGATGAAGTCCTTTGTGCTCTGTCAGCAGTCAACTGTGAGAAAAGTAAAGGAGGCTGAAACTTAACTTCTGTAGAAGATGCTGTGGAGAATTTCACAGTAGACCACCTACAGACATTGGTAGGTGCTGTGTGACAGAGAAATTGATGCCAGTAGTGTCCTTGTTTGTTAGACTATGGGAAGGGAGAAGGCCCAAACCACTTTGGGTTTCTTTTGCCCAAGAGCCCCCTGTGAAAAAGCATGTAGTTCTTTATTCTAACTGTTCTCTTTCCTTTTTTTTTTTCTTGTTTTTGCCTCAGCTCATCATCTGGTCCCCCGGCCTCCAGGACCTCCTCCAGGCGCCAATGAGGAAATCCCCGATGATTTCGACTGGGACTTGATCACCTAGCGAGTTACAGACTTGATAGGCCGTCCTTTGTGAGGGACGTGGGAGGGGAGGGAGACATGGGGTCAATGGTGTCAGCACCGCCCTCCCCAGCCTCCCTGCCTTGCCTGTATATAGATATATATTCTCTATCTCCGCCAGAGAAGCCACCGCAAGATGCTGCCGAAGATAATCCTTCCTTGCGTCCTGTTTTATCTTCTTTTCTTCTTTTGTTTATTATTATTATTGTTATTATTATTATTACCAATAATTGAGCACAGCCCTCCCCCTCCTCTGGTGGCCTCGGACGCATCGGATCAGCTTTCATGTTGTGTAGTGCCCTATGGAGGGCAGAAAGATGGGTCCTTGGTGCCATGAAAAGACCTTGGAAGGCTGAATCCTCGAGTGCATCTTTCTCTGCCTCCGTCATTTTGCGTTTAACAATCCCTCTTTCCCTTCAAGGTGGCCGGTGAATCTGTTGTATTGGCTACTGGAGTGAGAGAGCCTAGTGGACCCTGGGAGCCTGTAGTTATGTTGTTTCGTAAATGTTGTAAAGGTCAGGGGGCTGAAGGGGCACTGGAGGGGTGATCTTAGCTCTGTGAACTTTGTCACACCAGCAGGAACAGCAAGAAAAGAAGTGGTGTTCCCAAGTACAAAGAGAAGGTAATCCCTGAGGCAGGGAGAGCTAAGCTGAGCTGGGAGGGCAGACCTGAGTTTGGAGAAAGGAGAACGGGGCAGAGATGGTATTTCAGCAGTGAAGTTGGGTTTCACAATGTGGTGCCATCTGTGAAGACAGAGAGATTTTGAAGGGAATCCTGACCATTTCCTACACTGCTTTTTGCAGTCTCCAGGTGAAGCTTAAATACCCATCAGATAAAAGAAGCAGTCAGGGGTCTCACATGTGATTCAGAAAATTCTGTTCCCCAGAGCTTTTAATTTCACCCCCTATCCCTTCAAGCTCTTCTTCAAAACATGTAGTGAGGCTCTTACTTGCATATGCAAATTTGGAAATTTTCTCCCATCAGTATTTGTCCAATTGTTATTTGGCCCTCTGCCCCTCAGATTTCTTTGGAGACTGTCTTTGCCTGTGTTTTGAGTGCCAGCAGCAGGAGCCTTGTTGCGTACGTGCATGTCCTCTGTCAGGGGTTCCCACTTGGTGAACGGGCTCGTGGTGGGCAGATGAAGCTGCTGCACAGACTGGGGGGGAACTTGAGGGACTGCTGGTCAAGGGCTGGACCCTCTGGTCAGGTACCGGGAGGCCCTCACGAGCAGTTTTTGTAAGACGGGCATTAGAAGAGAGAGGATGAAGCAGGGCAGGCTTTTAAACCGAACAGCTGAAGAGTGTAGTATAAAAGGGAGGTGGGTGGGTCAGACCCCTTTCAGTTCGGCTGGAGAGATGACAGCATCTGGTGTAAATCCTTAAGGATGAGTTTTGTCAGCACTTGCAAATCAGGAAGGTGGAAAAGGTGCAGGAGCAGGAGTGAGTGTTGAGATGCCTCCTCCCCAAAGCTATGTCCTGTGTTCCCCTTTTTTTCTGGTATGGCTCTGTTCTGTCAAACCTCTTGCTTTCTCTTAATATTTTGTAAAGCCTCCCCCCATCCCTAATTCCCTGTTTATCAGTGAAGGGAACAAACATGGAGATAGACCATCATGGCCACTTGACATGGGGCAGGGCAGTAAAGTAATAACCTCTACTATGACTGCAGGAAGGTGGGGAACTGCCATTGCTTTTTCAAATTGCTGTAGGGATAAACCAATCGGAAATTGGATCTTTGTCAGGGAAGTGGACAGAGTCTTATTGTATCAGGAGGGGGGAACAACACTTTTTTTTTTCTTTTTTCTTTTTTTGTTTTTTTTTTTTTTTTTTTTTGGTTTCTTTTTTTTGTTTTGTTTTAAGTGTGTGTTTGGGGGGGAGTTCGTCATTGAGTATTTCCAAGAGAAATGAGGAATCCCAGACAGCTTCATCATGGAGTCAGCTGTTATCTCTGCTGATTCAGGATGGGAATAATACATCTTGGAAGCATGTGTGATAGGTTTCTGTGGGAAGTGGCACCAGAGATAACTCATAGCAGGTGCCAGTTAATGCTTTGCAAAGGACATTACTGAGAGCCGGCCCTATGGAAGTCTGAAAACACCACCGGAAGAAAAACAAACCAAGATGGCTCCTTCTGCGTATCCAAGTGCTCCTCATTTGCATATTTGCATATTAAGTTGTGCCTCATTTGCATATGTAAATACATGCCGGTCAGTGTGCAAATTAGCCTCGTTCCTCTGCCCCTGAAATAAATGTGCGTTGTTAGTGCGTGGAAGACATCGGTGGGGTGGGCAAGCACTGGCCTGCAGGGAGGGGAGGGGGGCCAGCCTGGCCTGGAGGAAGGTCCTGCAGGCCCTTCCAGCCCGGTGTGGCCCCCCCTGTGCTTCGTGTCAGTGGTCAGGGAGAGAGGGGCGTGGTTTCACGAGTTTATTTTTGTGCATGCTTTCTTAATAAAAAGAAAAAGTGAATGTTTATGGTTTAACTCTTTTGGTGCCAGTATTGATTTTTTTCCCAGCGGCGCTCATCAGGTTGGCTCAAGTCCCACCTACTTACCTTGGAATTTCGGTGTTGACATGGCTAAATGAACCTATATGTACTTTAGACAGAGACTTTTTTACGATGTTGAGAGAAAGAGTTGGAAGATCTCCCAGATAACTGTTTTTGAGGCACTGAGATCTGTGAGTCTTTCAACTCGTGCTCACCAGAAAGGCAGAGTGAAAACTCTACCAGTGTTTGGTGGCTGTCATACCATGTGTTGACCTTTCTCTTTTAAGGAAGGAGTAACACAAAAAGCAGATTTTTAAACTGCTTCCATAGAGTACCTAGTAAATGTGTTACCATTTTTCAGGAGCAGGGAACGTTCAAGCTCTGGAACACCCCAAATAGCCTGACTGGATGAAATTTTTATCTTCCTCTGCCAGAAGGACACAAGAAGCACATCTCCCTTGTAAAGAGAGCCTGATGTGACTGAGCCCCAATGTGCTCATTCCCCATCTTCTTGAGGTTATCACTTCTCAATTCCAGAGTTTTGCCAAATGGCTGATAGTCTAGCAGTCATCTGATCTGGATCATCCATGACTACAGCTATTTAAATTCTGCACATGTGCCATCTTGAAATGCAGGAGGTACATTTGGATAATCTCAAACTACTTCCTAAAAGGAATATTTGGGACTCTGGTGGTGGAGAGAGTGTTGCGGAGGCAGTGAGCGTGCACATGTTAATGAACATAGGTACTGCATGTGCATTGGATGAGTTACAGAGATGTATTTCCCAGTCAGTTCAATGCAGCTGCCTGGGGCAAATGCTGCTCTAACACAGGGCTGTAAAGGAATGCAACATTACCCTCTGGGGGAATCTTCAGATACTCCCCCACACACCTCAGGCCCCAAGTAGAGACAAAGGAGAGGAAAGATGTGATCACATTTTGAGGAGAGACATCAAAGTGAGTTTTATCTGCAGTTTATCAGAGACAGGAGATGTAGAACATAGACATGTGGAAATAAAATAACATCTCAATTCAGAGGTTCAGCTACATGATCCCACCACATTCTGCAGCCCTGCTTTCTTTTTTAGGGGTTAAAATTCTCTCTCTTCTGCTTCACCAGTCTTCCCTCACTCCTGGTACTTCCAACTTCCCATCTCTAGAGTAGGATGTAAAGGGGTTACTTGTCATGATCTGAACCATACAGTGTCCTTTACAGTGTACGGGTGTGGAGTTGCAGGCTAATGAAATGTGTTAGAGCAAAAACAGCTGTTAAACAGTGATTGATGTGCAGGGCCATAGCTTGGTCTTTCTGCAATGGTGAGAGGAAGTCCTGCATTACACTGTGCTGCTAATATTCTTCTCTGCTGAAGTCTGGCTTCTGTGAAGGGTTGAACATGTGAGTTCATCACTAAAGGCACCTTCCAAGATTCCTTGCACTGATTGACGTACCTTTGCCCTGAAGTCCCGTCCCACAAAAACATAGAGCAGGGGGTTGATGCAGCTGTTGGCATAGGCAAGTGCTGTAGAAAGGTGATCCCACAGGATCAGTGATTCCGTCAGTCCTGTTCTAAGACTAGGTACAAGGGAGAGAATCCCAACTACATGGTATGGAGCCCAGCAGGTGAAGAACGCAGCTACCACGAGCACAATTGTTCGCAGCATCCTGTTGTGCGGTTTGCTAAACTGATTTGCGCGAGTTCTGAAAACGATAAGGACGTAGCAAACTGCCATTATGCCAAAGGGGAGCACAAAGCCAAAGACAGCCCTAGTGATGTTTATTACCACTAAGGCAAGGGGTACAGAATAATCATCTTCATAGGTATTTCCCAACAAGTCGTTACCATTGTAGGCTAGAGGTGAGTATTCTTCCCATGACTCATTTACAGACTCATTTATATAATCTAGCACCTGATCGTCTCCAAAACTGTACCCACACTCAGTTTTGCCATCGTAAGTGCTTGTCTTACGGTAGTAGAAGACAGGACAGCAGAAAATGAAGGCCAGGATCCAAATGCCACTGCATATTAGCAATATAAATTTCACTGTTCGATGGTTTTGACACCAGACTGGTTTCATGACAAGGAGGCACCGGTCGATGCTGATGGCCACGAGTAGGAAGACACTAGCAAACATGGTGAAGATTATGACTGATGGAATGACTTTGCAGAGGAACCAACCATACGGCCAGTGTTCATGGAGGGCCAGGTGAACAATGAAAAATGGCAAGGACAAGCAGCACATGATATCAGCCACAGCAAGGTTTAGGAACCACACAGTGTTCACAGACCTTTTCATTTTCAGACCAGCTACCCAGATTACCAATCCATTGCCTGGGATACCTGTGATGAAAACGATGATGAAGATAGCAATGGAGACAATTGATACCGATGCATAATATACAGCAGCCTGTTCCTCTGAACTGCTATTGCCCAGGAGCTGAGGCATTCTGCAGCTATAAAACAGAGAGCAAATTAGTAGCAATTCACATTCTCCTCCCCAAATTCTTCTCTTAATCTTTCATGAAGCATCCTGAGTCAGGTTACAGTACAGAGCTGTGAGGATACAAAGGCATTGGTCTATAAAAGTTTGTGCTAAAGGCTTACTAATGTGACCATTGTACACCTTCATCATTCTCGTAGTGGCTAAGCTACATAAGCCCCACTATTCAAACAGCTGTATGCATTTACATTCTCTTATCTCTGTCACCCCCTTTGATATCTGGCTCTTTTTAGTCTCCAAAGTGGTGCACTCTGTTCATATGGCCATGCTGTCCCCAGGTGTTTCCTATTGCCTTCCTGCTTTGATTACACTTCTCAGAAAGGGAAATCCGGGTTTTTAAGTCCTGTTCCCTTTAAAACGAGTGACTTCCTCAGGCATAACCAGTGAAATACATCTAGGCTAAGAAAGCGGTGCTTGTCTTTATGAAATAACCCTGCTCCGCTTTCTGGACATCATAAATAGAACACAGAAGACAGCAACTCTGTTGCTAAGGGGTATTTTAGGGCTAAGGAGTATTTTAGGGAAGTCTCAGTAACCACTTCCTTCTCCCTTGCTTGTATTCTAACCTGTCTGCTGGTTCCTTGGAAAGCTAGTCTTGATGAGGAGAAAGGCAAGAAATTAATGGTTAAGGTTCTATGAAAGGCAAGAAATGAATGGCTTAAGAAGAACAGAGATTTATTTGTAGAAATAAAAATGAAAATAAAGAGTAATAGCAGTAAGGTTCTTGAGCCATTTTAGATATGAGGTGCCTTATTGCAAGACAATGAAGCTGAGCTACCACATACTTAAGTGACATGTTAAAACTATGAGAATAGTAGAGGAACAATGTTAATTGCTCAATTATTCTTGGACTTAGATATTAGTGAATTTAGAAAGGAAAGGAAAACTAGCAAAGCCAAGATAGAACTGAGAAAAAGTGCCCGATCTTCATCCTTTAGGTATTAATAGATTTGTCTATAAAATGCCTGTTAACTAAATCCTTGCTGAATCAATGAAAGTTGTGTTGCTGAAAGGTCCCTAAAATGGTACTAAAATGCAAGGAAGCTGCATAGTTAAGAGCTGAATACAGCCTGCAGAAGCAACTGAGAAGACATGAATAACATAACTGACCCTCTTTTTACCTCTCTTATGCCAGTACTTAAATGACAGTCAGGGACTGTTTTGTGCAGGACTAAATATCAATATTATTAAAAAAAAATAATTCAAATCATCCATCTCTTTCTTGCATAACATATAGTCTAAATGTGGAGCGATGCATAAGTGTTAGAACTGCTTCACCAGGAAGAAAATTAGATTGTAATTTACCAGTTTTTGGTAATAACTGCTAAGAAGTTTTAGATGAGGGTGACCTGCAAGAAAAGCTATGAAAGAAGTCTCTGGAAGACTTAACTTAAAGCTGGAGTCTTAACTTAAAATTCTAGAAAGTTTGTTCCATTTCCTGTGGTCTTGCTGATACATGCAGAAATGACTTTTACAGGGACAGCTGGAGAACAGTGCTGCAACAGCTGAATCTTGTTGCCTCCTCATAGAGTTACAGAAAATGGTGCGAAGGGGATAGGGAATCAAGGAATGCTGTAAAGACAGTAATGCAAGTCCTATTCCAAAGTAAATGGAGAGATGTATCAATACAAAGATACTGCCCACTCCGTGTTTTCAAGAGTGCTAAAAGGGCTGAAATGTTGTTCAAAAATGGAAGAGGGAACTGGAGGAGAGAGAGAGGTTTTCAGGAGTGAATAATAATAAATTGCAAGTAGAAGAGGAAAGCAGCTTATGATACTTACCTGAGTGAAGTTATTTCAGTGTGTCAGGGAGCAAGTACCATCAGTCCTGTCCCTGGAGTTACTGAAAAAAGAAACTCACATGACATTTTAGGAACCGCTTGTTGTTTCCTGTATGTGTGTGCCAAGTGTGTTCTTTCGCCCTGATGGAAAGGCTTAGAATGATTCATATTTGAAGTTTTAGATATCATCTGCTCTTTAAATAAACAGTCAAACCAAAAGAAGTTATCCTGATACTGTCAAAATAAAATAGTAGCCTAAATAAAACAGTAATAGAAAGCAAAGGAATAACGTGCACAGACCTATACTTTATTAGAGTTTCCATAAGACAACTGAATGACATCTTGCCTGTTGGCATAGTACTGACATTTGATATAATTCATAATTCCAAACTCTGCCATGTTACTGTCAAATGTCTGACCTGTTGTCTTGTAGCCACTTCCATGTTTTATCAGATCAGCACATTCACCTAGTTAATCCCATTTTTCTAGGATTCTTATCAATCCAGATCAGCTTCTGTCCCATCTTGAGACATCTTAGAACATTGTATTCAGCAAACCATGACTAGTCATGTCAAAGGGATTTTAATCTGACTTTTACATTTCAGGGTATTTAAACTCTATTTTTAAAGAAGGAACTTGACTGACAGAAAGTTAGAAGTGGTTAACTGAAATGCTGATTGCACAAAATGTGGCAAGACGATAAGAACAAAAGATCTCTAGGTCAAGAGATTGCCCCTCACAATTTGGCAAATCAAGACTGCTAGCAGAAATGACAAAGCCCAGACATTCAAGAATCAGCCTCAGTATTTTGGTTTTGGTCTGGAAAAGAAACCACGACAGAGCAAAGTTCCGTCACCTGTATCTCTAGAAGGCACACTGCAGTCATCTGGTGGCCAGGCCTTGCTAAGTACTTGCTTTCCTCCTCACAACTGTGCATTTAGGGACTCTCCAGTAACATGAAGTACCCACGGGGTTGCCCTGGTACTCCCCATATTTCCCTCTTTAAAAAATTCACTGTATGACTCCAGGGCATTTCTTTACAGTGTTGAGTAAGCTCAGGTAAGCACAAGCTTTGGACACCAACTAGGGAACAAAGCCTGGCAAAACTGGTACCAATATAAAACCTACATAATCAAAAAATAGCCCTTCACAATAACAGGGTCTCAGTACTGGATGAGTGTTTGGGTCAGTTTTTTCAGTGAAAGAAACATCATTTGAAATAGTATATGGTCTGTTTTGTAAAAATGCTCATAATTCTTAAGTTATCTAAAGAGTAATTTTGTGAGACTGGTTTCCCCTGTACCTTCTGCGCAGAACAGGAAAATTCCAAATGTTGAGTACAATGAAGTAGGTTCCTGGGCAATGCCTTATTTTTTCTTAAATAGGCAAAGCAAAAGCCCAAATGATTCTTTTGCATGGTTTATTATGAGGCTACCTGCAGACTGGCATGAACAGTGCATTTTACCCTACTTGCACACCTCACATGATTGCACATTGTGGAGTTCCATCCAAGATTTCTGCTGTTCCTTGTTTTTTGTTCATTGAAAATTTCTGTGGGGGAAAAATATGGATTCTTCATTGCTTTCATAGTCTGATTTTAAATATGTTCTACTTCAAGATTTCAACCTCACTGCTGAATTCTTAAAAAAAGAAAAAAAAAAAAGGTAAAAAAAATTAAAACCTTTAGCTTTTATCAGCAGGGCTTTATAATTTCTTGGTCCGGAGATGCCTGTTTGAACCAGGCAAAAGAATGTTATGTTCTCTGCTGGTTAAGTCTCAATGGAAATGAATGTGAGGTGTATTCCTGGAGTCCTGGTGCTGCTTGCGAATTTTTTCTCACATGTCTTACAACAGCTGGCCCTTTGCCACTCTCTCATCCTAGAGGGACCATAGGAGGACTGTAGCACACTGAATGACAGCACAGTAAAGAGGTAGGTAAAATTTAGTATTGCTAATTGTGAATCACTGAACTTGGAAAAGCAACTGTAACTATACACACAGAGGGATGTACTCCAGATGAGTTATTAGAACTCAAAGAAAAAACTTAGCAGTCACTGCAGGATGTTCTCTGAAAAATCCTATCAACACACAACTCAGTCCAAAAGGTAAATGTAATTGCTTCTTGAACAATGAATGCTGTAGTAGTCCCCGATCTTAAAAAGAATTATAGAATCAAAAATGAAGAAAATTATGACTAGACAGCCATTGCTGGGAATGGCTTCTTTTGGTGGACAAGCTAAATACATGAGAATGGTTCACCTAGGAAAAGAGACAGGTGACAGTATGAGAGACATGAATTCTTATTTGAAAACAAAAATTTACATTTTTTCATATTACACAATCAGATTCATAACTCCAGGGATGATACGGGTAATTAGAAGTATAAATAAGTTTTAAAAAAATTAGATGAGTCCATAGAAGACTATAAAAATATTTATAAGAAATGCACTAAACCCCTGGCCCTCAAAGCCCTTACACCACAGATTGCTAAGCTACTATACTAGGGAAGTGTAATTCTGTGCTGTTTTACAGGCTTTCTTTAAGTTCTTCTGCAAGGTTTACCTCTCATTGATGTCTTCACCTCAATTCTGCAGTCTGACAAGCAGTTTAACACTGGCACAGCGCAAGGAGGGAGGCTGAGCTGCCTCTTACACATGTATCTGCATTGAGTGTGGGTGCCATGTATTCCTACTGGCTCCTGCGCATGCTGATTCAGCACAGTCGCCGAGTTGTCTTTATTAGTTTCTTCCTTATCTTGGGAGTGTTGCCAAATGTCCTTGTGGCCCATAAATTCTGCGTTGTGTCCACTGTCATTGGTACATCCTTCTCCCCCAAGCTTTGTTAACTTCCCCTGAGGTCTGAGGTTATTGAAACATGTCGAGCCCTAACAAGGTACTTCTAGTCACAAGTTATTTGTCTTTCTAGCACCTGGACATCACTTAGAGGTTGCTTGTTAGCTGCTCTGGGTTTCACGGATTAAATCCCTCTTCTTGTTGATTAGGCTTGAACGTATACAAAGATCAAACATCAAAGAACATCCTTTCTTAAGAGAATTTTTACATATTCCGTATTTTTGTGACAATTTGGCAGTACTCCGCTTCACAATCCCCTCCTCGTTTCCTGGAAATTCCTGGGCAAATTGTTAATTTTTCTGACCCTTGAGATGTCAGCATCACTGCTAGTCTTAACTAAATCGATAAATAAAATAGTATCTACACTCTTATTTTCGCCACATTTTTGGGGAAGCCACACTCCTGTGTGGCATTTTCATCAATTCCAGCAGCAAAACCTGTAGTGTTTTGCGCCACGTTTTCTCTTGGTTTCCCGTTTTACCAAAAAGCCACCCGATCCCAGCACCACAGAAAGTCCATGTTCACTCAGAGCCCCAAGTCTGGCCCACGGCTGCAGGGGAGCAGCCCCCGGGGAACCCACACAAGCAGGTCGATGTCCGTGTAGCGCCCCAGACAATCCCGCTCCCCCGGCCATCCCTGGGGACGGCGCCCCAAGCAAACATGGCCGCGCCAGCCCCGGCGCGGGACCTGCCAGGTTCCAAGATGGCGCCAGGCCCCGCTGCTGTGTCAGAGGCGGCTCCAAGATGGCGCCCTCCCGCCCCTGGGCCCCGATGCCAGGATCCAAGATGGCTCCCTCCGCTTCTCTGACGTTATTCGCGTCCCGCCCTGCCGCCCCCGCGCCCCCAGGCGGTGTCTGCCCTCATCAAAGATGGCGGTGGGCAGTACAGCTGGTCATTAGGCTACCGCGGCTTGCTTCTCGCCGGGGTTCGTGGCCGAGATGGCGGCGGCCGAGTTGGAGTACGAGTCCGTTCTCTGCGTGAAGCCCGATGTCAACGTTTACCGCATCCCGCCTCGCACCTCCAACCGCGGATACAGGTGAGGCAGCGAGCCGAGATCGCCCCGGCTCGGCTCGGCGCGGCGCGGCCCGGCCCAGCCCCTGGCCGCAGGGCAGCCAGGGCCCCGAGCGAGGCCCTGGGGAGCCGTGTCCCGCGGCCGCGAGCAGGTCTGGCCCGTTCCCTGAGCCCCCGCCGGCCGCAGCTCGGGGGGACCCGCCGCCTCGGATTGCCTCTTGGAGGTGGTCTGCGCCTGAAAGCAGACGCGTGCGCTCCGTGCTGTGGAGGAGCAGGGGCTGCTCTGTCAATCAGGTGCAGGAGGTGAGGGCGCCTGAGCACCTTGCTGTTCCAGGCAGAGCGGACCGTCGCTCCGGGTTTGCTCGGTCAGCGGGGATATGACTGATGTGCTGTAACGGCGCGTTGGCTTTGGCCTGTTCGCTCTGGCAGCAGCGGGGAGGAAGGCGGGAGGAGTTCTGCGTGATTTTTAAGAAGAGGCTGCAGGACCAGCAGGTAGAAATGCCGTCTCTGATTAGCCGAAAGCAGTGGCGTGCGGTTTTAAAAGCTGTGACGGCAGGCCTGCTGGAGAAGGGGATTTGTGTACTCCCTGAACTTGACAGACTGTTGGTGCTGTGGATGTTGTAGCAGGCCACGGATGTTTGTTTACAGTTGTAAAATCCTGTAGGTTTTACAGCACCAAGTCTGCCAGAGTTCAGTTATTGTTTGGACAATGCTTTCAGGCACATGGTGTGATTCTTGGGGATGTCCTGAGAGTTGAACTCTATGATCCTTGTGGGTCCCTTCCAACTCAGAATATTCTATGATTCACTCGGCAGGTTTTTTTCTCTCTTTCCTTTTTTTTTTTCCTTCACAAGACTGTGGTTGAGAGTTTGATGGGCTAGTCAGAACGTATGATGTTTTATCTGGTGTAAGCCAGGTACCTACAGGTTCAGAAGTACTTCGTATTAGTTTGCAACAGTAGGGTAGAATAACGGTGTGGCTTTTCAGCATGCTAATAATTAATTTTTGGGCTCTTCCTGATGCTCACAAGTCACTTATTAGTCACTTGTGGATTTCCTGTTCAAGAGAGTTTCTGGGCTTCCGTCTCCCCTCTTCTGTAGGCCTATAAATGTAGAGAGTTGATATTCTTTGGACTGTGTCTATTTCCCTTTACCCAGAGAGGCCAGTCAGAGTCATGTGTTGATTGGCAGCAACAGAGAGGAACTGAGACCCAATGTGTTGTTTGGGGAGGGAAGTGGAGTGAGGCAGTTTCAGGTGTTGAGAGTTTGGGAGCAGAGACTTCTTCTGAGATGGTTGGGCGGAAGTAGAAGGGTTGCTGTATGGTCAGTGATCAGCTGTTTGTCCTTTCAGGGCATCTGACTGGAAGCTGGACCATCCAGACTGGACAGGACGGCTTCGTGTCACCTCCAAAGGCAAAACTGCTTACATAAAACTGGAGGATAAGGTTTCAGGTAAGGCAAAGGCTATGCCTTGGCAAGACTGCAACCGTGATTGCTGCTTGTGAGCCTGCTCAGAGCTGTGTGGCAGCCCTGGCCACATTTAGCAAGAGGTTGCTCTCCTTAACACTTGATTCTTTGTCTGCAGGAGAACTCTTTGCCCAGGCTCCCATAGATCAGTACCCTGGCATTGCAGTAGAGACTGTGGCAGATTCCAGCCGCTACTTCGTCATTCGAATTCAGGATGGGACTGGTAAGTTGAGGGACAATGTATGTGCCAAGTGCTAGGGGTGGAGGAGACTTAGCCTGGTGGAGCTGGGTGTTTGCCAGGTGGATTGGAACTCTTTTGGGAGTGCTGGCAAGGCCGGGGAGTGTGCCTGGAGGAGTCAGAAGCTGAGATAAACAGAGGAGGTTCTCTACATTGTACAGAGCCCAGGGGCTGGGAAGGAATGTTTGGTTTCTGAGTGTGCCCCATGGGAAGAAGGGTGTATCCTGAAGGCTAGGAACAGTGAGCAGCTGGTGTCCAGCTGCAGCTGTGTTGGAGGGAGGTAGCACAGAGTGATTTAGGAGAAGCAGAAGGATTTTGGAGTGATTGAATACAAGGGCCCATTTGCAGGGCACCTCCAATGACTCCTCCTATCTCCTTGCTAGGACGAAGTGCTTTTATAGGCATTGGCTTCACGGATCGTGGTGATGCCTTTGACTTCAACGTCTCTTTGCAGGATCACTTCAAGTGAGTTGTGCTTTTCTGGAATGCTGTTTTTCCTCTGGCCTGTAGAACGTGGCGGGTGGTGGTGCATGGTCATTCAGTGCAGGCTTCCCTGGGATGGTCCTGAAGCCCTGCTCTAGCAAGGGACACTTGAGTGTGCTGCCAGCAGGGTCAGATCTGTAAGTCTTAAGCTTAGGTCCTGTGATGCTCCAGGTGCAGTGTTACATAGTTTTTTGGGTTTGTGGTGGTCACAACTTTTTGCTGTACTACAGTGGGAGTAGGGAGGCAGCAGGTTTGACAAGGCACGGTAGTTTAGTGGGATGGGGAGAGAAACCACACATTTTTCTGAAACCCTGCTCCCTTTTGCCACAGGGTTTCATGTCTTCCTCTCTTCTTTTTAGGTGGGTGAAGCAGGAGACTGAGATCTCCAAGGAGTCCCAGGAAGCTGACACACGTCCCAAATTAGATTTAGGATTTAAGGAAGGGCAGACTATCAAACTAAACATTGGGGTAAGCAGACCAGTTTACTCTGCTTCTTTCTCTGGATGTGCCAGTGGAGACTGTTCTTTACATGTCCTTTTTTTGTTATACAGAACATGACAACAAAGAAAGGAGGAGCAGCCAAGCCCCGTGCATCTGGATCAGGTGGCCTAAGCCTGCTGCCACCCCCACCAGGAGGCAAAATTGCAGTCCCTCCTATTCCTCCTCCTTCTTCCACAGCCATTGCCAACCACGTCACACCACCCCCTGTGCAGAAATCCAGTAATGTGAGCGGTGCAGGTAAACATTAGCACAGAGCAAATGATCAGGCATCGGTAGGTGCTTAGAGAGAGCTGAGATCTGCTGCAGCAAACCCATGTTCAGCCTCTTGCCAGCAGCGCCCTGTGAGACATGGTGTGTCCCTGCTCTCTTCGGCAGCTCTGGTGCCCCAGTGCAAGAAAGACATGGGCCTGTTAACCTGGGTCCTGAGGATGGTCGTGGAAATGGTCAGAAGGCTGGAACACCTTTCCTGTGAAGAAAGGCTGAGAGGGTTGGAGTTGTTCAGCTTGGAGAGGACAAGACTCTAGGGAGACCTCATTGTGGCCTTTCAATATATAAAGGAATCTTGTAAGAAAGATGGAGACTTTTTACCAGGGCCTGTAGTGACAGGACAAGAGGTAAAAGCTTAAACTGAAGGAGGGTAGATTTAGATTGGATATCAGAAATAAATTCTTTACAGTGAGGATAGTGAGACCCTGTAACAGGTTGCCCAGAAAAGCTGTGGGTAGCCCTTCATTGGAAGATTTCAAAGGCCAGATCGGGGAGGGCTTTGAGCAACCTGATTTAGTGAAAGGTGTCACTGGCTCATGGCACGGCAGTTGAACTGGATGAGCTTTGAAGGTCCCTTCCAACCTAAGCCATCCTCTGATTCTGTAACGGAGAGGTCGCTGCAGTCTTCTGGAGGCTGTACTAAAAATGTGACCATGCAGAGGTGTCTGGAGAGCTGATGCCTCATGAAGGCAGAGACTTTAGCAGTGCTGTACACAGGTTTGAGTGAGAAGAAACCACAAGCTTCTGAATAGGGCTTGTGTTGTTCCAGAGCATGGTTTTTAGTGTTAAGGTGATGTCTGTTTGGCAACTGTTATGATTGCTGAGCCTTATGTCTACTGGGAGAGGTAATAAGTCACAAATCTGCCAGTTGGTGTGGTAAGTGGAGACCGAAAAGTTTGATGAACCCTTGCAGTGTGAGCTGGAGGCTCTCTGCACGCTCAGTAAAAGGTGATGCTGTTACAACAAAACCCTTGAAAAGTAACTTCCTTCTTCTGGAAGGACAGCTGGAGTCCTTTAAGATTTCTGCCCCTGCATCCAGGACTTTGTTAAAGGTGACACTTTAAATGCCTGTGGGGTTTTCTTCTTGATTAGCTTGATATTTTTTTTTCCTTCTCTCCTCCCATAGATATTCTCTTAGACTTAGATGCTCCTGCATCTGCATCCAAGGCACCAGTACCAGCTACCACAGACCTCTGGGGAGACTTCAGCACTGCATCCAGGTAAACTGATGAAGGGAACACAAGAAGGGTAGTGTCCTAATGGGCACTGGAAGAACCATAAGTTAAGAAGTCTTATTAGATCTGCCCATTTGACTCTCCTTTCTTTATTGCAGCGCTGTTCCCAATCAGGCTCCTCAGCAGTCCAACTGGGTCCAGTTCTGAATGATCAAAGCAGTGGAATGGGGCAAACTGATGACCAAGAGGCACTAGAGGCACCAAATGGGATCAGAGGGGGCACAAACCTCTCTAGTCTTCAATCAAAAACAAATTTGGACAATCTTTCATTTTTAAACCAGACCTTCACTTCAGTAAAAACTTACTATTTTTGATCCCACTGAACCAAAAGAGAACATACGGACTCCTCCCAAGATGGGCAAGGAGGAGAGAGGTAGCCTTATCTCTTCCACCTACTTGGCCATTAAATGGTACATCCTAGCTCTTTTTCCCTGTCTTTCCATACAGGGAAAGCAAGAATCCTAAAGAAGGTGGGTACAGGAGTAGGCTGATAGGTGCCCCCGAGTTCCTTGTCCTCTAAATTTTCTCTGGTTAGGCTGTTGCTTTTTGTGGCTGTTTTCAATAGTGACTCCAGTCTTTGCAGCTTGCAGTGCTGAGGACAGCTGCATTTGGCTGCAACTGGTAAATGGAACATGTAAGGAGGTAGTTCTTGTCTCAACACGAAACCCTGTTGGATTAATTACATCTGCGGTGAGGAGTGAACCTCCCCCTGCACACACTACTACTTGCTGTCTTTGGTGCAGTTCTTGGTAGTGCTTGATCTTGTGCTCTTGTGGGAGGAGTCACCCAAGTCCTTGAGCAGACCTGCTGCCACTGCGCTGTAGCTCCTTGGTGGGCACCGTCTCCAGGCTCCTTATTTGGCTTGCAGGTTCGCTGGAGCAACTTAGCTCATTTTAACTCCTTTCTCCCCGTGCAAAGGCCTCACTGTCACTGAGCTGTTTTAACTGGAAATAGCTTTAAAAAAAAAAAAAAAAGGCTGGTTGTTATAATTTGGTAGTTACTTGCACTAGATGACAACCAGATAATTCCCACCATTTAGCATTTCATGTTCCTGCATCACTGTCCTGAGCCCTGGCCTTGTATATGACTTGGCACTGTGTTACAAGTATTGCATATCCATGCCACAGTAGGAATTATGGTGGGACAGTGGATTATTTTCTGGTGAAGGACAGTCTTCTTCCTCTTTTCAGCTCACGCTTGCCATTTGGATAAGAAATGTATAGTAGGCCCAATCTTGAGAACTGGCAGCAAAATTCTCCCGCTTGTATTCCTTCTTATAGCTTTTCTTCTGGGGCTAACTTTGTAGAGATGTGAGCTGGTTATTGGAACTTGGATTTTTTTTCTTAAATTTTTAATGTGCTCCAAACCCCCTCTATTTTCTGTGTGGTTTAGGGGGTTAGAAAGAAGATAAAGGGCCCTTACTCTCTGCTTTTCTCTTTGGGAGAGCTCCCTGAGGCCCCTTGATGTGGATGCTATTTCATCTTCAGTGTATGAATGTGATCTGGGGTGTAAGTCTGTGATTACTCTGGGCAAAGCTCGCAGGGCAGGCTGAAAACCTCACAATGCTGGCTACCCTTCATGCTGGCTTATAAACCAAAACACTAGCTGGGAAGGTGATCTCAGTGACTCTTGGAGAGCTGTACCCAGTTACTGGAACACTAGGGTTTTGGTGCTTCATTGGAAGGCTTCTTCCTGTTTTGAACACTCAACACAGCAACACTTTTGTGTCTCTAGCACACCTCCGCAAGTAAACTTTTGCCTTTGGGCAAAAATTTTCTGGTGAGGCTTTTAAAAGAGTAGTTAGATGTATGCACCTTGTACTGGCCGAAGGGTCTCTTGTCATTTTTGTCTTCTTATTACACTGAGGGCATTTTGGAGACAAAGTTTCACTTAGACCATCCCTCTGGGAAGCAACATTATTGGAATAGCTCTAAAGCTGCTGCAGTTCCACGTGTGGAAGTGGGGACCAGACTGCTGTTGGATGTATTTTAAGTAGTCGTTTAATCCTGATTCTCTTGCTCTCTTGGTGTTTCCCCTTGCCTTCATAGTCACTCCTGCAGTCTCACTGCACTTCAACTTCCTGCCTCCTGAACTTGTGGATGGCTATAGTCTGCCAGTGAAGTCATGGACTCTGCTGGTTGGCTTTTTGTTTTGTTGTCTTTTGTTTGCTCAAATCCTAGTGAGGTCCTGTCATTTCAACTATGTATCAATTCCCCAACCAAGGAAGTTCATGGCACCAATTAACAACTAACTAGGAGCCTCTTCTGTATTGTCTTAGTTAGTATTCTGGAGATAATATATTATGTATTGAAAAGCTGAAGAAGCAAAAATTAAAGATATATGTATATAAAGCATAAGATGTACTGGTGCAAATGGTAATTAAACAAGTAATATTGGGGAAAAGAGTGTCATGAATCTTCTGAGTTGTCAAATTGTTGTTGCTTTGGAAGCCTCTAGATTGAAAGTCTTCATGTCTCCAGCAAGATCCTTGTAGCCTACTTACCCATCTGAATATGTGTTATGACCTGCAGACTGGACAAGAGCAACCTCAGGAATGAATGGGTTCAGGACATTCTGTCTGGACAAAGAGGGAGGAGTGTGGAAGAAGGACACAGAAATGACATGGCTGTTCCAAATGGGGTAAAACACCACACGACACCAAACACAAATCAACAACATAGAAACAGGCCTGACTGTAGGTGCATATGATGCTTGATAAGAGCGTGGATAAAACTACAAGTGAGAAAACTTAGTTGCCTTGACATTTAGCATTTCAGACATTAGAGGCTTTTACAGCCTGCAGATACTTTGAGAAATTATTCTTGCCATGCTGGTAGATGGGAAGCAGTCTCTGCTGACTGCAGAGGTGAGCAAGGTGAGCTTTGTCAGGAGCAGCAAGGGCAGGCTGCTTGGAAAGAGAGAGCAAACTGGAAGCTGAGTCACAGCAGGGCAGGCAGGGGCAGTGGGCTCACCAACAAAGGAGCAGTCCTGCAGTACTTGAGCACAAAGATCAGAGCCCGTCAGGGTGAGGGTTTAGATCAGCAGGGTGTGTGGCCAGATGTGGGCATGGCTGCTCTAGCTCAGGCAGGGATCAAGCATGAGACCCTTAGCTGTGATAAGCCTGCAGGCCAACTTTGCTAAGGTTTCTCAAAGCCAGACACCTCTATTACTTAAGCTGGACCTGAGTCCAGGCAGCCAATCTGCCAGAAGGTGGGGAATATGCTCAGGGCCCTGATGTTCTATCAAGCCTGCTTACAGCTGTTATCTTGTGCAGCCATGCTTTCTCAGTGTTCCTCTACCAGACAGCAAAACTGTGCATATGGCTGTGTTGAAAGTACAACAGAAGTCTTATGGCCTGGGTAAAGATGAGAGGTCTTAACCTTTGAAGTTGGTTGTTTGAATTGTCAAATATTCTAGCATCTGTGGTGGCTGAAAAAAAATCTACATTTTTTTCAGATCTAGGAGCAGAGCTGTGACCCTGTTTTGGTGCGATGTTGTATGCGTCCTGGCAGGTGGAAGGTGAAGCATCATGCCCACAAGCTATGGTGAAGTTTCTCTGACTTTTCAGTAGGTACTTGCAGCAAAAAGGATTAAAAAGCTTAAAAGGGTATTTCTCCAGAGCAGGAGGATTTTCAGGTGAGGTGCACCTAAGGGAAGTGCAGGAATATACTCCTGTTTATGCATAAAGAAGCATAGAGGATTGGGAAACAGTTCATTGAGGAGAGTTTAGTCCCCTCTGGAAATCTTCCCAGTCCCCATATCTTTCCTCCCTGGTAAGTTACTGGTGAAATTACTTGGCCTGGCCTGTGGCTGGACCGGCTGAATTCTTCCGTCTTTCTGTACTTCCCATTACCAGTGGTTTCTTCTAATGTAGCAGAAGCCAATAAGCAGGCTGCTTGAGAACTACAGTTTCTGATACTGCAGACAATAGTCTTCTCTAGGTAAAGGATCAAGGTCAGGCCCTTAATATGTATCAGCAGATCAAACTGAGCAGTATCCCCTGAACATTTATGTTTTACATAGTAGATCGACTGATTTCCTTAGGCTTTTGGGAAGACCTGCCATCAGTCTGAGAGGGACTAGTCAAAGGGGCAGAAAAGTTTGTGCCAATTGAGAGGCAGACTGTAGCAAATAGAGTCAGGAAAGAAATGTCATAGGGAAGATCCCAGTTTCATCTGGTTTTTGGTTGTTTCTTTTGTGAAAGTTGTAGTTGAGGTGGGATGTGAGTGTTTCCCACCCCTTTCTCCCATTAATTATGTTCTACATTCTATGACTTATGTCTCACAGTCATGCAGCAACTGTTCCTACCACAGCCATGTGAATTTCAGACTCTAGACTTCACAAAGCCTTGATGCTGTGTGTGGACTCCTGAAGAAATGGAGAGGAAGACTTGTTCTTCCAAATAAAAACCAAACAGGAAACCAAAAACCCCAAAGTCTTCCTGAGCATTGGTAACGAGGAAACAGGATCTGAATCTGAACTCAAGCTGTTAAATCAGCATAAATCTATGAAGTTCTAGGAGGGAGAACAGCTGGGCTGGTAACGCACAGAAACGGAGCCCTGGGGCCTAAGTAGTTAACACACATAATGCCTCAAGGTCTAGGCAATCTGTTGAGTGCTCATTGCATTCCATGAACAATAGACTCACTCTAGAGGTGGTTATTGGTTGGTCTCTTTCTTCCAAGTTAATATCTCTGTCCATGCTCACAGGAAAAGGAAAAGCACATTGCAGGATGCAGTGCCCTTCTAGTTTGGTAGCTTAATTTTGCCCCATCCAGAGTTTGGACTCTGACAGACATTCCTTGAAGCTGAGCATGGGAAAAATCCATCAGTCAGCAATAGCTGGTCGTTATAGTGGCTCCTGAGCAGAGCCATGTTTTCCAGCTGTCACTTTTGGGATCTTATTCCATCACTTGTGTTTGGGGCAGGCCAGCCAGGTAACTTGCAATAGCCTGCTTTCCCTTTTCTTTCCTAGGCATTGTAGAACAGCGACTCCCCAGCCCTGGGACAGAAGCATCTGGCTTGCTTAGTAGACTGACTTTTTAGTCCTTGAAGCAGTCTGAAGAGACATTCCGTAAAGGAGGAAGCCACCTGTAACTTGCCGCCTTTGTGCTGAGCCTTGTGTTTTAGGGATGTGTGGTGCTCCCCTGCCCTCCTAGCCTGGTCTGCAAGCCTCATCCGCGATCGGGCATTGGAAGTTCAGTCTCACCTATGACAGTGCTGCCATCTGCTGCCGAAACCCTTTGTTGCGGGCTTTCCTGCAATTCCTGGGCTCAGCCACCATCTTCAGGGGCTGGCTGGGCCTCCAGGAATCGGGGGAGTGGCAGGTGGGATGCAGGCAGACATCACCTGAGACCTGGCTAGCACTGGTGAGGTGCTCTCTGAAAAGAAACTGCAGCTGGCGATTTGTACTTTGATAATTTGGCAGTAATGGAACTGGTGCTTTCAAACGTACCCATGTTCTGCAATCCTAATGCCCTCTGTGTTTCCCTGCTGCACAGAGAGCCTTGTGTGGGGCTTGGAATCAAGCTGTGCCAGGGCAGGCACATATCTCCTCTTGTGGGTCCAGTGTATTTACAGGTATGTATTTCTGTTGTATTTGAAGTTTGGCCCAAAGGAGCAGCACCCCTCCTAGTCTTTTTTAAAGTGATGTCTAAACATTTGTCTGTAAGTGCATGTTTACGGTGTTAAGCAAACTGTTCAAAGATGTGTGGAGATGCTATGTCAGTAATGCTATGCAAACCAGCACTTTGGTAAGCTAGCAGGGACAAGGAACTGTAGTCCAGTGAGCAGCAGTGCCAAGTGGTAAGGAGTAGGAGAGCATTTTTTTGGGTAATATGTGCTGAGGGGCTGTAGATATGGCAGGATAGGCTGTATGTCTGGCCCAGAGTTAGGGGCTGCTGTCACCAATACCTAAAGCTGAAGTCAATACCATGGGTATGTGCTGTGCTTGGAAATGACCACTGCATATTTTTTGGTAACAAAAAAGCCCTTAAACAATACATTCCATACAGGGGCAGGGTTACTGTAAGCAGATAACCTGCCCTGTGTAGCCTGGTCTAGCTCCAGAAGTAGTCCTGCTTTGAGCAAGGTTTTAACAGGATACCTCCGGTTTGAAGTATTTCCTAGCACAGCTTTAGTGTTGGGCTGTGGTGGGGTGGGGCCCATGGTGGGCCAGCAGTGTGGTGAGACATCTGACATGGGAGGGTGGTCAGTGGTGGGGAATGCTGAGGTCTGACAACTATCCTTCACCTCAGGAAGGGCAGAGGCTGGGTGAGGACCAGGATGGTGTGCTGAGCCTGTCTGGTCCAGTCTTAAAATGCTAAATACATGAATATCTGTGAACTGGAAGCAGGGTCTAAGAGACTCAGGCCATGGTACTGCAGGCCAGTGTGAGTCATCAAGGAGCACTTTGCTCTCTGTGTCATCCCAGCTGGCAGCTTCGGGACCTGCAGGGAGTCAGCAGCAGGGGCCCTTCGCCCTTTGAGTCAATGCTGGCTCCATGCTGGAGCATGGTACCCTGAAGTGCCATTTGCCTGCCCTTCACTTTACTGTGCTGACTTCAGTGTCCTGCCGTGGTAAAAGTCGGTGACACAGGCACCTGGAGAGTGTGCTCTTCAAAAAAAATTGCCCTTCCTCATCCAACTGTGTCGACATCTGTGTCGTGAGGAGGCTCTTGCATACAGTTGAACCCCAAAGCTTAAGCACTCCCTGCCTGGCATTAAAACTTTCCTAGCATGTTTCAGTGACGAGGTGCCAAGGAGTGTCTGACTGAGTTGACTATTCTCCCTGGGTTTCATTCAGCTTTCTGTCACTGTTTCCAAATGGCCTTTGCCTTGTCATGTCCTGACTGGACAGGACAGTGCAGACATGGGAGGTCTGCACTCCTCTAGGGGCAGATGGTGTCCCCCTGCCCTGCTGCTGGCCAGCACGAGGTGGGCTCGGAGGCTGCAAACGGCATGCAGGGCTGCCTTGGCTACGGAGTGAAGGGTAAGGGTCAGCACAGGCCATTTACAATCTCACTGATACATCTGCCCTTGAGGATATGAGTGGGGTGAGGGAGCTCTGCAGGACCAGGGAAGTTTGTGTTGCTATTCCAGACCCACCTGCTGGGACAGCCTAACCAGTAGGGCTGTCCCCAAAACCTCCCTATGAGAAGATTTTACTATGTAGAGAGGATGTGGAGGGAAACAGCTTGAGATCAAATAAGAGTGGCCCTAAGATTACGTCATGGATCTGTGTGACCTTACCTGATAACCCTCATAGTTACTTGGTGACTGTGGTTGTTTTCCATTTTTATGCTTTTCTTTCCACTCCCCCCATTCCCCCTTCAAAAGAAGAAGATCAGGTGCATTCACCTCACTGGGCAGAGAGTAGCCAAACTGAATTCAAGGCTGTTGATGATCTGTGTGATCCTTAGACAGAACTGAAAATAAAACATGAAGAATTGGAGGTGTTATGTGGCCACAACTTTTTCATGCGAATCCCATATGCAGTTTGTCTAAGATGATAAACTTCACAGCCCTGCCTCTGAAACAGGCCACTGGGGTCTGATCAGGACTTGGATCTGGCCCAGGTTTGAAGTCAGATATGCCACTGTGGCAAGCAACTGCAGTATCTGGACCTGATTTCCAACTATTTCTGGCCTTGAGACTTGTGACTCCGGTCCAAAAGAGGAAGGGGGCAAAGGTGCGATGTTCGCAGTAATGGCATAAACCAAAGCTGTGAGATAAATGCATCTGAATGTGTCCTCGGTCAGCTTTGACTGGGTAATTTGTTAATTAGGGGAAATAAATGAAACATATCTCTTCTCTTCTGAAGAAACAATCCTATGTTAATGCTTTATGTAAAGAGGCAGGTTGGGGCTTCTTGTCTCCTTGAAGATTCCCTGGATAGTGTTCTTACTTCTCTTATTCTTTCCTTTGCACCTGGGGGATTTTGATAGCCTGTCATTACAGCTGGGCACTCGACTTCCCCTTCCGGAGTCTGACTGAGTTTGAACTCCCTCAGCTCACATAACTTTGGGACAGGGCTTTTCTGCTTGAAAACCTCAAGTCTCACTAAAACTTGGTAGAAATGTGTGCAGGGGAAAAGTGCACAAACCCTTTCTGGGGGGAAAAATTTCTTTCTCATCTCTTCTACTTTCCTGTCACCGTGTTCTGCATGGTACTGTAACCATATATTTTGGTGAGGTGCTGATCTCTGTCTGTGTACTAGTGTTACTCTAGGTGGTTTTGCTCAGGACACCGTGTGTTGCTGCTGACTCAGGCCTGCCTGTGGTGAAGTGCTGCCACCTGCCAGAAACTAGTGTGGCTTCGCAGTGCTGCCTTCTGTTTAACCCATCCCACTCATTGCTCTCACCTCCCTTTCTCACTGTCCGTTCAGTACTTCCCTGTTTTCTCTTCTCCCCTGGATGCTGGCTCGAATGTCCTTTTCTCTGAGCTTTTATAGCTCCATATAGCCCATTTCTTCCTAGGTCTCCTGGCAATTTGTATGGAACCCTGGTTCACCTTCTGTGACTGCCTTCCACAAGAGGTCTCTTATCCTTGCAGCTCTGGCCAGTGTTATCAGCCATGGAATGCCTTTCTCCCAGTTCCCAGGGGGCTGCAGTGCTCCCACACTGTCCCCTGGAGCTGGGGGAACTCAGCTCCTGCAGTAAGAACTGCAGCATACTGCCCCTCCCTGCCTTAACCAGTTCCTTGCAGCAGGGTACACAATGTTGGTAGATCCTCTCTAACGAGCCAAATACCTCAGGAGCTCTCAAGGAGCTTTCACTGCCTGAATCCCTTTGATTAGGTATCTCACCTCCCTTATTAACTTTTCCCCATTTTCCATGCTCCACTGTCTTTTTTTTACTCTTCCCCTGGCTGCTCTGCTCTCTGGTTCAGATGGATTTTCAAAAGAAGTAAGGCCTGTGCAATGGCGCTGTCTCCTCTGTTGTGATGTGGACCTGCTTGCTCGATTGGGTGACACTGTCTGTGAGGTGAAGGGCTTGCTGATACTACATTATTCAAACCTTATTGACAGGTAGGGGAGAAAGAGCTTTCCTCTGGTGCTTTCTGTTTGGGTCAGGCAGCCAAATGGTGCCCATGGAGTTTTGCGGAGCAACCAGCAACGGGAGCACAAGTAAGATGGAAGTACAGGGCTGTTGAGGTGAGCAAACACATGAGTCCTAGAAAGGAGCTGGGTCGTGAGGCAAGTGGGAATTGGGAGTGTGGGAGGTATGTGGCACTGCAGAGTAGGGTTCAGCTGAAAGATGTCTGTGGGGAAACACAGGTATTGTTGGAGGACAAGGGGATGAGCAGAACACAGAAGTGGGGAAAGAGAGGAACTGAGGAGCAGCAGTGGGAATGCAAGGAAACAAAGCGTGAGTTTGGGGTTTTTTATAAAGCAAGATGTTATTTTTCTTTGGTTTTTTTTTTTAGCACCACAACTAACTGCAGGGCCCAATTGTTCCTGTCTTCCACCCAGTTACATGCCATCAGTGCGTATGAAATGCAAAGGACAAATGTTACCCTCAGGAATATCGCCTCACTGTTGTTGCGCAGCTCAGCATTCCATCCTATGGAAGTATGATTCAAGGTTGAATTTCGATAGCAAGCAACAACAACTCTGATGGCTGAGAAAGAAGAATTGAGCTGTCTACTGATGTTTGAGTGCAGTCTAGTGTAATCTAATAAAAAGAGCAGCTACAGCCTGAATTCGCATTTGAAATGCCTCAGCTCTGTTTGGAGATGTGATTCAATGGAAAAACCTCTGTGACTTCCTTCTTTGTCTGCTGATTGTATTTCCTGTTTCTCCACAGTGGAAATCTTGAAACCCTGACAGGAAGTAAGCCTTTTCCTCACGAGACTGGGTCTGTTGAGCTTGGTTGGGTGGTGACAGGGGGAAGCATGCAGAGGATTGCTCTGAAATCTCAACATGAAATTTGAGGGCTTACTAGATTTCAGCAGACACTCAGGGGAGACTTAATTCCAGTGAGAGGGCCAAGCCTGAAGACAAAGCATAGTGCTGGAAGGATGTTGGAAAGAAAAGCAGGCAGCATGCATATTCTCAAGGGGCCAGGCTTCTGTTCTGCAAATGTTCTGATTCTTGTATAAAAGTCACGCTCTTTGCAAACAATACAAAATGGAGAAATAAAGCCAGTTTAGAGCACACAAGACATGAGGAGGCTCCTTGGTAAAGAAATCCAGCTACATATGCCCCACTCTGTTTAGGGGTAGTTCTCTGTAATCTGTGTTCACGTGCCCTTTACCTTCTACCACATTATGGTCCTCTGGTGTCTGATGCATGTTCTTCCTGGTACTGCCCTATCTCACCTCCAGCTCTGCCCTGTGTGCCCTCTGTGCTAGCTCCCTGGATGTCCTGTGAGCATCTCAGTCTGCTCTGCCTTAAGGAAATTCCAGCTAGCTAAACTAACCAAGCAAAGCTTTCTCCTTCTCCCTTCTGGTTGTTTTGGAGACCTTGTTGTGGCTTTTCGATACTTAGATGGGGCTTAAAAGAAGGATGGAGAGAGACTTTCTACCAGCACCTGTAGTGATAGGACAAGGGGTAATGGTTTTAAAGTGGAAGAAGCCAGATCTGGATTAGATATAAGGAACAAAATCTTTACAATGAGGATGTTGAAACACTGGCACAGTTTGCCCAGAGAAGTTGCTGATTCCCCTTAATTGAAAATGTTTCAGACCAGATTGGAAGGGTTTTTGAGCAGCCTGATGTTGTGAAAGATGTCCTCGCCCATGGCAGTGGGCTGGACAAGACAGTCTGTGAAGGTCCATTCTGACCCAAACCATTCTGTGATTCCTGAGTCCTATCTGCTGACTGAACCCTTCTCACCCTGCCTGACTTACTGGCATTTCTTCTCAGTCTTTCTGATCTAGCATGTATCTCAGCAGCCATTTCCCTTAATTGTCTCCTTTCAAGATCTGCCCCAGCTTGAAGTCAGGCTAAAGATCAGACTGACATTTTGTCCAAGGTAATATCCAAGGTAATGTCCAAGGTAATATCTGCTTTACCAGAAAGCAGATAAGGGAGATAAATTACAGTGTTGGAGCAAAAAAATATAAACCATCCCTTTTTCAAAAGCCTCTGAAATGGAGCCTGAAGCAAGCACTGCTCTGAACTTCCACAGGCTGTGAATCAGGTTGTGATAGAAAGGTCACTGTGTGTGGTCTTCCCAATAACCTCTCAAACCATCAACAGGTTTTTTTTTTTAAATCCACTTTGCTTGCTCTCCTCCTTGACCTTGACCTCATCCTTTTGTTTCTCCTTGGATATATCATAGTTCTGATTATTTTTATTCCTTTGCCTAAGGCTGCAGATCCCTAGTCTCACTTCTACAGGAACATTTCCTTATTTGAGATTTGTTATAAGTGCTAGCTCCCAACTGGGACTGACTTCCGAGAATGACACATAACTACAACATTTGATGTAGAAAATGCAGCTTAATCACAAGGGACTAGTGAGGGCAGGATGCATTTTATATTGGACTGCAGGTTAAACTGGGCTTGGAGCTGTGATAGCTGCAAACCTAGGGACAATAGTAGAATACAGACAAAGGAAGGCATGAAAATATGAGAATAGGAGAAAGTTAAATAAGAAAGGTAAAAAGACAAAAAGAAAACCGTAAAATATCTTTAAAAGCAAGGCTATCAGCTGGGAATTGGTTAAGGGGAAGGAAGGATGCAACTTCCTTTTCAGTTGTTAGGTTCTCTTTTTTTTTTTATGTCTCAGAAGTTTTCATAGTGCCAGGGCTGATTTTCTGGGCTAAGAAACTGAAGACCCATATGGAGCACTTCTGAGCTCCCAGGAATTCTGAGGTTATTGCCAGTGTTTCCGGTGTTTAACACAGCCTTCTTTTATGGGCAGAGGGTGAATGAGCTGATGGGAAAGCCTCAGTAACCTATTGGTGTCACCCCCTGGAAACAAGGACCTAAAAGGACCACATTTTATGTGGCAAAACTAAGGACAGGGTCAGCGGTCACACTGTGATTAAATGGCATCAGAAGTCACCTATGCTGAGGTGAAGTTCAAGAATGCATCGCTGGCTGCAGTGGTTGAAGGTAAGGAATGGATGGGTTACTCAGGGGAAATGGAGCTGGCATGAAGGGGGGCTGAAGAACAGGGAACAGAGTCTTTTCCTACCTGGTCTTGGTGGATTGGTGAGAAAAAGGAGCTGTCTACCACTAAATGAGCAGGAGACTGGAGGAGTTTTGAAGTAAGAGTCTGGAGGAATGTCTGCAAGAGTAAAGGTGAGTTGGAGTTGCAACATGATCAAGAATGACTACTGGGAGCACAGACAGTAGGTTTCAAGAGAACATTCATTAAGGAATGTATTTGGGCTCCCTCAGTCCCCTGGTTGCAACACCGACAGTGGCAATAGGTATAAGGTGCAGCATAGGCACTGTACAGGAGTAGTGCTTAGCCCTGCTTCCATGCTGGCTGCATCCTTACATGGTATGTAGTCTTGAATGAGTCGTTTTTGGACAGTATTGAGTACCAACAATTTATTACAAACAATCTGATCTGTCACAAAGGTGAAGGGGCTCCCAAAGCAGCAAATAAGCCCAAGCCCTTGCTGCTACTGCTCCTGCTTCTAAGAGAGTGAGACCACAGATTCCTGCTTATGGAAAGGACAGGAGTCTCCCTATAGCAGAGCAGTCAGTTGTACTCTGCAGCTTCATGAGAAGTGGTACTGGCTGCAGGAACTTATAACCCCATTTTCCATGGTTGATTGAGATACGGTCATTGAAGAAAAGAGACCCAAAACTTGAACAAAACACCCTAAAATACACAGAAGGAGAATTATTTAAGATCTGGAGGAAGATCCAACTCTGCTACTCCTGAAAAATAATTAATGCACCAAACAAACAAATTTTTATTGCTGTTAAAAATTACAGTGGTAATTTTTTTTTTTACCAGACTTTATGCAAATGTAAGGCATATTCTGATCAGTTTGTATTCTGTAGTCATTATGCCACAAGCAGGAACACATAGAGAGGCTTTATGTATGGCTCATTGCTTCTGCCCTGACATAGAGAACCCTATACAACAGGTTTCAGGGGAGTGAAAGTATGTGTGCATAAATTAATTTCTGCTGCTAAGGATATTAACTTGCCTATTAACAGCTTTAACTCGGTTTTACAATCCCAAACAGAGCAGGCATCAGCATCAGGTTATTCCTTGCCTGCTCTGAGGCATGAGTCATGGAAATAAATGACTGTCTTGAAAGCTCACTGTTTTCAATGCACCAAGATTAGCTTGTTCTGGATACAGCTAGCATTTCCATTGTGGTGAGGTGGGGGTGGTGGAAGTTCCCTACCGTGTTCCAAATGATGTTCCAAAGACATCTGATCCAGCCATGTCTGCTTGAGCTGTGGATGCCAAGCTTATGCTATAGGTTTGGGTGTGTGCTTAGGGTCTGATTTTGGGTGTGCCTGTTGAAGTGATCTCACACTGCCTGTTGTTTATACTTGGAATGCAGAGGAGTGTCTGGTAGTACCATTGCAGCCTCTCACAGCCTCACACTATGCACATAGGATGGGCGTTATGATTATTAGTGAAAGGTTGAGACAGTCTTGCTGCTCTGTTGTTCTTCTGAATGATTGCTCTGGCCATGCAGACCCCGTGTTGGTAATGGCCAAGTACACCTGCTTTTTCCCATTCTGTAGCCTCTTCAGTTGGGTTCTAGGGATACCAAAACTGGCAGTCAAGAAGTTAGAGAGGAGAAGGCTAATCAAACAATACATGAACTCTAGCAGGAAATTCCTCATTTCCAACCAGGATTTCCCAGATAAAAACACAGGCATCTGTGCTGCCCCACACTTGCTGCCTGTGCCTAGGAGATGTTGGATTTACATGCTGAATAACCAGCATATCCTCATCAGGTCTGTTGTGTTGGGGTCACGCTGGAAATTTTACAAGCAAGCAGACCAACTGTGGAAAGCATTTTGCAGGGAGCTCAACCCACTGAGTGTGCACAAGATTACTGCACTCAGCACTACTGCTGCTGAGGGGGATGGCATACAGTGCTCCCTGTGCCCCTTGGGTGTGAGTGTGGGATGCTCAGGTCTGACTGGGCACAGGTTGAACAGTCATACTCTGGATGTGCTGCACATCAAAAAAGTTATTTGGACTGGTTAGGTCTGAAGTAGTTGGCTGGACTCCAGATCATGAGCTGGTTCCTTGTTTTCACTACAGACAAAAGCTTTGGCTAGAAAAACGTTATTTCACCAAGGAAATCTGAATCTTGTCTGTCTATGAATGTTTTCTTTACAAATAACACAACATTATGCCTTTTGCCCTTCTGTAACCTTTGGGAAGTAGTCAGAAGGCTTTCACAAAGAGCAGGTTTCTGGAAGTCTTGCTTACTAGACATGGCTGGCAGGCACACATGGCTGCTGAGAGACTTGGGAGTTTCATGCTGAGCAACAAATGAGGTCTCTCTAAATCTTATCATTAATATCAGTCTCTCCAAAAACTTATTTACTCCTGTCCTGCAGTGAGTGCTGCAGTCTCTTTACCTTTCTATTTGCTCTGGCTTGTGTACCTGCCACAAACTAGAACAATCTCCTAACAAGTGATGGCTTCTCCTTCCCTGTGACCTGCTCCTCTGTCTACTTCCAAACCTCCTCAGTACTGGCAAAATCTCCCTAGACAAAAGTTAAGTCCTGTCAAGTCTTAATCTGAGTGTGATACTTTACTTAGGCTGCTGGACACAGCCCTTTGTTCTCCCGAGGTATCCATCCTAGTGGAACCTATTAGAGCAAATCTCTGAACCCTGGCTCAGAAAGCAGAGATGGAAGGGAAGAATATAGCTTTTAATCTCCCAGTGATTATGAGCCATCATAGTGTTGTACATTTTTTGTCTCCTGTACTCATTCATCTTATATCAACCTTCTGCACAGGAAGTCCAAAATGCTAAGAAGGAACTGAATCAGGCATAGAAGGTTTTCTGGGAAGAAGTCAACATGAAATCTTCATATGAATGTCTCAAGTATTATGGATAGAGCAATGTTGTATTTGGCAGCTTTGGGCTCATTCTAGAAAGACACTGTTTCACTTTAGGTTTTGAGGCCACATGAAGGCCTCACCTCCTAATAACAGCAGTTAGCATTGTTAGCTCACCAGTTGGGCTGGGACTGGGAATACTGTCACTGAACTTGACCTTCTCCAGAAACCACAGAGGTCCCCTGCTTTGTCCCAGTCTGCTCTTCTCCGCAGCCATGTAACTTCCACATCAGAAATTAAATTGCTTTTTATTTTTGAGGAGCTCTTTCTTGAGTAGTACATCCTTGATATCTGGACTGGGGACTGACCAAAGCATAGTTGACTGTGGTGTTTTGTTTGGTGTGTTCCTTCACTTTTAGCACCTCCTGAGACGAAGAAGTGTGAGCACCACCCCCAGAAATACCCACCATGGCTCCCATGGCTGATCTCACTGTTGCTCCTCTTGACATGCATTGCCCTTGTTGTTGTTCTCCTTGGTGAGTATGTGCAGGCTGGTTACAGAAGAGAGGTCTGGGAGAAGTGCTGGGAGAAAGGAAGAGAAATCAGTACCCAGAGGGGAATACCTTCCAACCAGAGGGGGCTTTTACTCAAGAACAATTTTGTCATGAGAAAAGGATGCAAGCACTAGCATTTGGGTTCAGAACATCCAAACGCTGAACATTTGAATGGTTATGTTTAGGAGCAAAATCTTCCCTGACTAATTAAGCATTGGGGATTTAAGGGCACAGTTGCAACATGACACAAACTTCTCTCTTGTAGGCCAGCCAAACCAGAGGTTCTGGCCAACTGGCGTGTGGGAGGCAGGACTACCCCACCATTATGCCAGATGGTTCTGTTATACCCACCCTCTTCCTGAGAATTATGAAAAGAGTTAGGCAGGAAAGGGCTTCTGGAGGTCTCTAGTCTATTGCCCTGCTTGAAGTATGGCCATTTTCAAAACTGCATGGTTGTTTGGGCTTTGTGTAAAGGTCTCAGGTTTTCCTGACCTGACCTTGTATATGTCTGCATACATCCCCCAAATCTTCCACTGTTTACCTGGGTTTTTTCAGTGTGCCCAGATTGCACATTCCCATCTTGAATGGCCTCTTTGGAACTTAGGAACAACTCTCTACCTTCATACTACACAAAAAGGAACTAAATTACATTTAGCAGAGGGGAAAAAGTGGAGATGGAAGCACAAGGGCCTACACAGGCAGCTGAATCTGCACTTAGGCTCTCTAAGGTGCATGGACACACTTTGTGTCCTAACGGAAAACATGGCTTCTCATAGTCCTGGCATCTCTAGGATGAGCTGCACAGTGCTAACTCTCACACCTTTTTAGGGTTAATTGCAGATTAAATAATTAAAAGTTATTCTTGCACATGCAGTTTGTGGAGATTGTGATTACTGTTTCATTCTTATTTTCTATGAAAGACAATTCATGGCATGTTTCCACAAATTGTCAATAACTGTGATGGATTCTGATAGAGGCATATATTATGATAAATCACTGCCCTTCCTTTTGCTGTCATTAGTTCCTGAGTCCCAGGAGTCTGTACTGCTTTGTTCCCAAATGTATAACTTTTCACAGTACTAGGCTAAAAGGTTGGGGAGTTTTAAAAGGTGGGATGTTAGAGCCTGATACTTTCTCATACACATGGAAGGTTTAATTTTTAGTGGCAAATTTACTTATCCAAGTTAATTGATGCTACATAGGATTTTGGTTTAGCAGAGTGATACAGCAAATGTATTAAAATGAAAACACCAGTACAAATTTCACATAGCAGAGAGTGGCAATTGCAATGCACAGAAGAATCACAATACAAACATGATTTTCATTAGTGGTCATACAAACATAGAATAGTAAAATCATTAACGTTGGAAAAGACCGCTAAGGTCATGCAGTCAAACCGTTAACCAAACACTGCCAAGCTCAAGACTAAACCATGTCCCCAAGTGCCAGACCTAGATGTTTTTTGGACACTTCCAGGAATGGGGATTCCACCACTTCCCTGGGCAGCCTGTTCCAATCCTTGACCCACCTTTCCGTGAGGAGGTTTTTGCTCATATCCAAACTAAACCTCCCCTGGTACAACTTGAGGCCACTTCCTCTTGTCCTGTTAGTTGTCACCTGTGAGAAGAGGCTGACTGTAACCTGGCTACAGCCTCCCTTTGGGTAGTTGTGAAGAGCAATACAGTCCCCCCTGAGCCTCCTCCTCTCTCTCCAGGCTAAACAACCCCAGCTCCCTCAGCCAATCCTCATAAGACTTGTGCTCCAGACCCTTTCCCAGCTTTGTTACCCTTTTCTGGACAAGCTCCAGCACCTCTTTCTTGTAGTTAGAGGCCCAAAACTGAACACAGTTCTGCAATATATTCCGCATCAAGACATCCAGCGTCCCCGATGACCAAGAAAAAAAAAAGTGAGGGGTCAGCTCAGGCCCAGTGCTTTCCTCAGGTAAGTCTTTGTTAGTCATTCATTTTTTTACTCTCTTTTGGACTAAGCCACATGTACACTCATCCCATGCTGGTCTGGCTAACTTAGGAAGACACCACTCTCTTTGTGATCTTTAGAGGGATGCACACTTAGTCAGTTTGCTCAGCTGAACTAAAACAAAGGCCATCTGTCTTCTCATCCCCCTTTGTGTAGTGATAAGGTCACCTTTATTTGCATCAGAGGTGGTCAGTCACTCATTGCCCTTGCCCATCTTCTCTGAGCCTTCTTCCATTACAGGAATTCATTCCTCATCAGGCACTGAGGCCACTATGAGGCCTCACCTTGAGTCCTTTGTGCACTTTTGGGCACCACAATATAAAAGAGACATTCAGCTATTAGACAGCATCCAAAGGAGGGCCATGAGGATGGTGAAGGGTCTGGTGGGGAAACTCCACTAAGAGGAGTGGCTGAGTTCACTTGGTCTGTTCATCCTGGAGGAGACTGAGGGGAGACCTCACTGAGGTCTTCAACATCTTCATGAGGGGAAGCGAAGAGGTAGGTACTGAAGAAGTCCTTCGGGTTGTGGATGTGACCATTCACCAGCACTGTATTATTCCCCAGACACTGGGGGCTATGAAATCCTAGAAGTTTACCCTCCACCCTGATTTCAGCAGCTCCAGCTGTACGTGATTACCTTCACCTGCACTGTCCGTTGCTGAAGAAACAGACCCATCTGATGTGCTACTCCTCCAAATTACTGTTGATATCTAGTTTAGGGAGTGATAAACTGTGACACTGAAAAGCGGCTTTTTATTCACTGATTGTACAGAGGTTTAGACTGGCAGCTTGGCTGTAGGTATGTTCATGGTAGAGTGGCTGTGGTTGGGTGCAATCAATGCTGCCCTGTCTGGCACATCCTCAGGGTGTGTCCTTCCAGTGTTCCTTCTGCTGTCTGAGATGCAAGATTGTCTCTTTGTGGCTGGGAAGGCAGCCATGCCACCTGTTTGGGCCAGGAGAGGTGACGGCTGGGACAATGCTTGGTGGGGAAATGGTGGAACAGGAGTGAAGCCCAGAGATGCTGTGTGAGGAGTCAGGAGGAAGGAGTAATCCTGCCACCTTTCCTCTCCCTTTCCAGTGGCTCCCTTCTCCCACAGCAGTGACCAGCCCACAGCCCTGCAGGAGAAATTCACGGCGTGGGAGTGCGACTCAGCGGTGTCAGAAAACAAAGGTCAGTAGGGCTGGCAGGGGTACAGGAGGTCTTTGGGATGGGGACAATGAATGCTGAGGTCTGCTCTGACAGCAAGTGGCATCAGGAGGAGAGAGGCAGACTGCAGAGGAGGGAAGCAGGCAGAAAAAGGGTTTCCTGCTAAGAGCTTAGGGGGAGGTGTAAGGGGGGTACTTTTGAATTAGATGATCAATGGAGCATAGAGGCTCCATTACAGTGAGAAAGGAATCATATTAGGATGTGAAACCAGCTAGAGTATGGTACAATGTAACTTCATGGCACAAGCTAATTGTAAGGTCCACTGTGCTTTTTAGCAAGTTAGCCTGATATCCCCCATTAACAGAGCTGAGTTCTTCCTTGGTTTTGCTTCATATTGCAAGATAGATACATCTACTCTTGAAACACAGTGGTAGAGGTCATACATAGGGGTGAAAAAGATGATGATGGGAGGAAGATTATGTGGGCAGGGGTCGCTCGCCTCTTGCCCCACAAGTAGGGCATGCGCAGACTGTTGCCATTAGGTAATGATTAGGCGGGGTTTGGCTGCCATTCAGGCATCACCTTATACTGCATATTGGCCCTACGTAGTGTAGTGTGGAACGGATAAAAATGGGCTGTCGGGACTGCTGAGCTCAAGCGATACTCATCCTACCACCGAGACTGTGTTGCTCTGCGGGGACGCCCGCTAAGCACGGGCACCGACCAGCTGCTGCTGCAGATCCTGACAGCCCTGGCCTGTCTGTGTGGGTAAGCACAGTTTATTGACAGGAAGCAACCGAGAAAGCAAACTTTTTAATATCCTTTTAGTGTTCCTTTAATTCCCCTTTTATTACTGAATATTGTTACATAAATAAGTTGTTCATAGTATTTCCCTTTAATTTCCCTTTTACTAACCAATATCGTGTTAATAGCTATCCATAATATCATGTTAAGATCCTTTTTTGATATCCCTTTAAACTCCCTTTTATACTCCCTTTTATACTAGTTAATATCGTGTTATAAATGCTGTTCATATATTTTTTTTTTTAAGGCCACGCAATAAGGTAGTTATTTTGTATCCTTTTTAGTTTTTAATTCTTTTTGCTAAGTTTATTATCATCATTATTATTCTCACTGTAATAAAAGGTATTTTGTGTGTTTGAATGTTTCTGGCACTTGTTTTTATTCCGGACATGTATCCAAACAAACTGTTACAGGAGGAGAGGGCCATGTTAATGATGTCCTGGAGGGCATCGTGGATGTGAACTCCGACCAGACAAAGGGGACAGACAAAGGGACCAGACAGAGTGGCACAGGGGAGGTTAACAATGGAGCAGTAATAAAAGGGCAGCTCCAGTCAAGGAAAGAAGCAATATCCCCTGTTTCCTGGGGCTAAAGGCCTAAAGGAGACTGACTTGACAAGGAGAAGTCAAACCAGACCACCAAAATAATCTTGTGAAGACCTGCAAGGAGATTACCAGGATTTTGTGTACACAAACCTCACTGGTCATCCTCAAAGCAGTGGGGGAAAAGTATCTGTACTCTGCTTGTTTTTCAAGCACTTTCTGCCAGGAAAAGTGACTAAGGAGAACATGAGCACTGTCCCTGGAGAACTTGGATCTTTGCAATCACCATCTCTCTTGTTGCTAGCATTCATTGCATTCATTCTGTGTTCTCTCCCCGCACAGGCCGAGGCTGGATGTGCTGCCCGAAGGGCTGGAGAAGGTTTCAAAACAGCTGCTATTTTCTGTCCCTTGATAAGATGTCCTGGGCTGAGAGTGAGCAGAACTGCACTGGGATGGGCTCCCACCTGGTGGTGATCAACAGTGAGGAAGAGCAGGTACATGCACAGGGCTGAGGGAGGGGAGAGCAGCCACAGACACAATGCTGGGCCCTGGAGGGGACTCAGAGCCCCTCCTTGTCCTGCACTGGGTTCTGTTTGCCACCATCCCTACTCCACATGGACTCCTGATGCCTCCCTCTGATCAATCCTGCATCTCACAGGCATTGCACTCTCCCTCATTTCCAGGTTTTCCTCTCTAAACAGATAAAACCAGTTCTAAAAGCAGAGAATTTCTACATCGGTCTGAGAGCAGAGATTGTGGATCAGTGGCAGTGGGTGGACAAGACTCCCTATAATGTAACAGCAGCGTGAGTATCCCTGGATGGAGGGGATTGGTGTGGCTCCTGGTAGTGAAAGAAAGTAGGGGAGATGTGAGGGTGTCTATTGGTGTGTGAGAGGGAGGTATCACAAACTTGCCCTGAAGGCAGACACGTCACTGCTGGGTGTGAAGTTCATGGGGTGAGTGGTGGTGATCAGTTCCCCCCAGAAGGAAGGAGCAGGGCCCTTCTGTGTTGGAAGGCTGTAGAAAGAAGGCAGGTTTCCACATGACACTTGTGCCAGTGGGATATCAGAGAGGGAGGAAGGGTACATCTTCTGTCCATGAATCAGCATTGGGAATTTTTCTCTCTCCTCTTCAAGTCTTGCATCCCTCTGTGGCCTTTTCCAGCAGTGCTTTACAATGAAAGCTGGGGAGTAACATGCCTGTCTCTGTCTCAGGTTCTGGCGAAGAAATGAACCAAGCGAAGGTGATTATGAGAAGTGTGTTGTAATGCATAGGGATTCAGAAATACCCAACAACTGGAATAATGTCGGATGTCAGAAGTTTTATCGAATTTGTGAAGCTGCTGCCGTAACTGTGTGATGGAAATACCCCCATCCTTAGTAAAAGTGGGAGATGAGCAGTGAGCTGAGACCGGCAGAGGGCTGTGCTGGAGGGGTGGGGAGCCCTGAAGCCTGCATCTTCACTGTGCCACGTGGGATAATGGAAGTGGAAGTGATACGACCCTTTGTCCAGCATCCCCAGTGCATCGAGGGGCTGAGGGAACACTTGAAGGCTGAGGGTCATCAAAGCAGGTCCTGTGTTCTTGTGTCCTCTTCTCTCTGAGTGGATTCAGAGGCCACTGGCAGAAAAGACATGGAGTTCTCCAGGAAGAAGACACAGGAATGGAAGACAGATGTCCTGAGCTGCATTTTCTTTCTCTCCTTGAGCAGAAGTCTCTGCTTTCTGTTGAGTCACATGCAGAATGTCCTCCAGTTGCACTGGTTTTGTTGAACAAGTTCTGAAATTTATACAAGAGAAAATACAGTATTAGACCAATAAAAAATCTCTGTGCAGTGTGTGTAGATCTGTCTTTCTCTCTTTCCATCTCTAATCTGCCGGGGTATAATCCTTGAATCATGGAATGGTTTGTGTTGGAAGGGACCCTTAAAGATCATTGGGTTACCAGCCCTGGGTCTTGAGCAGGGACACCTTCCACTAGAGCAGGTTGCTCAAAGCCACATCCAGCCTGGCTTTGAACACTTGCAGGGATTGGGCATCCACAGCTCCTCTGGGAAACCTGGGCCAGTGCTTCACCAATGTCACAGTAGAGGATTTCTTCCTGAAATCTAATCTAACCTACCCTCGTTCAGTTTACAGCCATGAACGCTTGTGCCATCACTACATGGCCTTGTGATAGATCCCTCTCCAGCCTTCCTGTAAGCCTCCTTTAGGTACTGAAAGGTTGCTCTAAGGTCACCTTGGAATCTTCTCTTCCCCAGGCTGTACAAATGCTGCAGCCTGTCTTTAGAGGAGAGGTGCTCCAGCCCTCTGTCTCCGTTCCCTTTGCCTTCATCTCCATGGCTCTCCCTCTGGACTTGCTCCGATGGGAGAAGCAATCCACTCTGGGCCTTGAGTGCCACGTGGAGGAAGCAGTCCTCTTCCTAAGTCAGAGCTGATCCCAGGCTCACCTGATGCAGCAGCATTCCTGCAAGGCCAAATCCTCCGTGGTCCCTGTAAGAGGACCAGGCCAGGTCATGCTGCAGAAGAGGCTGCAAGGGGCAGGACAGGGATGCTGCTGCACATGAAGTCCCTTCCAGAGGTTCATTGCTTATTGAATTGCCTTCATGTCCTGCTGCAGACCATATGCCACCATGGATCTCACTTCTCCATCCCTTCCCCCATCCTGGCCCCTCTGTTCTCTTTTTTCTTTCCCCAGAAACATCATCTGCCCAAGCTTTCAACCAAATAGTGCCATCTGTGCACATGGAATGCAACTGCATATGCAACTCCTGGCTGTGTGACAGTTCTAAGGAACTGAAATAAAGGCCATCTCTCTTCTGTTGAAGCAGAACTGCTGTTAAAGAAGAAGAGGACCACCAGGTTAACAGTAATTGCAGAATTAGCAAAAGGCTTCTGAGAAAGAGAAGAATCAGTCTGAAAACAAAATTTGGAAGAATGTAGAACATTTTTAACAGAGAGAAAACAGAGAAATGGGAAGGAAGTGGCAGTCAACACCAGGCTGTTCTATAACTTTGCAGTATCTGTCTGTAACAGAGCACCCTCACTGTGGATGCTATGAACATCTTCTGATGTGTCCTTGCAGGGAAATGATGAAAGTGCCGCAATCTCCATGTGCAGTTGGGAACACCCAGGATATGCGGTTTTTACACACTGGATTAGAGGCTGTGAAGGTTCCTCACCAGTGTGGGCGTTGCCCTAGGTAGTAGGAAGGCTGTGTTTGTGGTCACATGGGCACTGTGGACCCTTGGAGAAGAGTGAACTCTGTTTTCACACTGGTGGAGAGAATGAATTGCCAAGGGAGAGTCAGTCCTGGAACTGCAGGTAACCACGTACCCTTCCTTTCTGTCCTCTTGTAGAAGAAGGAAGAGGTGGGGGAAATATGGGGCTGGGATGGATAATGGGCATGGTATGGTGGCTGTCCTCATACCAGGAGAAGGAGCTTAGGACAAGGGCAGTGCAACAGATGAGGGAACTGGGGAGTACCTGGGCTGGGAGAATGACCTTTATCCTAGAGCCAGGGGGAATGAAAGCCCAGGTAGACTATGGTCTGCCATTCCTTTCAGTGTTTTTTTGTGTAACTGATGGGACTGAAGAGTGCTATCCTACTATCATTACCCTGATAAAATAATCTGCATCAAGCTGAGCACAGGTCACTGCTCCTGTCTCTGGTGTCAATACAGAGGACCAAGTAAGGCCGTTCCAAGAGTTTCTGAGTGCCTTTTTTCCCTTTAGAAACAATCATTTCTGTGTGTCTGGCTGTGCAAACACTGAGCTGGAGAGTCAGTCCTTTGGGTGAATATATGGTATTGCATAAAGGGGCTTGTGGTATAGAGCCAAAATAAAAGCAGCAGAGGAAAAGAAGGTTGAAAGTGAGATGAAGAGGAGAGAAACACAGAAAGAGCTTTTAGTGAAAGACAGGGGTAATGAGGGTAACAAGGAAGATGTGTTGAGGAGAAAGGATGTCTGACAGCATAAAGAAGGAGTGAAATTTGGGCAGAATACAGGCAGGTCTTGTGACAAACAGCAAAACAAGAAAGCAGCTTCAGGGCAGCCCCTGTGTTACTCTGCTCTGTGGCTCTGACCCACGGCTACTGACAGGCAGCAGGACCTGCTTACAGCACCTGTGAGGCTCCCCACAGGTGGGGACAAGGGTACCAGCAGAGTGCTGGGTTACAGAGCCACCTGGGTTATGCTGCCCCTGATTCTGGGCAGGGGGATTCTTACTCTTGCTTTGTGTTTTTCAGCCTCAGCAGAAGAGAGAAGCTGCTCCTGGCTGAACCCCTGGGTTTTCCTTATTTCTGTCCTTGTCATCAAAACTGCCTTTGTGACCATCTGTCTTGGTGGGTTTCAGGGTCTCTTACTTCCCCTGGCATGAAGGGATCATTTCATGGCCTTTGTCAAATGGAAAACAATATCTCTATCTCTCTGCCAACAGACAAGTGCCATTTACCAAAACAGCCCTTTCCACCTTTATTAAGCCTATCCCACAACTTACTTTTCCCTTTCCTGGCCCCATTCTCAAAGAATGTCTAAGCTGGTTTTGTCAGTTGTGAAAATGAGTCTCTCAGCCAGCGGAGGTGAGACAAGCTCATCTGAGGGAGGGGCTGACTGGTAGTGGGAGAAATGGCCTGCTGTTTTTCACCTCTTTGTTCAATACAGATTTCAGAGCTTGGTCATGTAACAGAGTCTCTGTGGGAGCTCTAAGCCAGAAGGTGGAGGATGGGACAGGTTGCCTATGAATGAGGAGGAAAGGATGACAGTAGCACTTTTCATTCTCGTTCCTCTCTTCCCAGTTGTATTACTTCATGGAGGCTACGGCCAATACAAGAATCTACTCCAGAACTCTACAGAGTGGCACTGCATTCCCAAGATTTCTGCAGACAATAGTGAGTGATGTTGAGACTCTCCTAAGAAGCACAAAGTACTTCACCAACATTTACTCTAGTGTAACTCAGCCTTTGAGGTTGGGAATGTCATTGTCAGTTAGAACTGAATTGTTTTAAGGAAGGAAGATGTGGATTTGAGGGAAGAAGATGCTGTATTGCACAATTTTATTTAGGATGCCATGAAAACATGTTCTGGGCCAGTGGAAGAGGGTGGGTTGTTCCATACCTGCATTTGACCAACCTTTCTACTCTTCTCCTCACACAACCCCTCAACTGTTAGTCTGGTTCATTAATCTAGCTGAAAGTGCTTCATCCTGGATCAATCCAGCTCCATTCCCTGTGCTGGCTCCCTGCCTGTTCACACAAACATCATGGTCAATCACCCATGTTCCCATGGGTATCCATGAGCCTCTGGCTCCCACAGCCGCTCCTCACAGGACTTGTGCTCCAGAAAAGCTCCAGTGTCCTTCCCTGGACACACTCCAGCACCTCAATGTCTTTCCTGTTCTGAGGGGCCCAAAACCGAACACAGTTCTACAATATGCTCAACACCAAGACATCCAGTGTCGCCAGTGACCGAGACAAAATATGTGAGTTAAAGCCAGCTCAAGCCCAGTGCTTTCCTCTGGGAGGTTTCTGTTAGTCATTTGATTTTTTATACTGTTTTGTAATTCACTGATATTCACATATTCATAGATATAATTCACATTCATATACACATATTCACGCATCCCGTGCTGGTCTGGCTAACTTAGGAAGACAATGCCTTTTTCTTCATCTCTAGAGGGATGCACAGTTACACAGCTGGCAAATTCGCTCAGCTGCACTAAAACAAAGGCCACCTATCTTCTCATCCCCCTTTGTGTAGTGATAAGGTCACCTTTATTTGCATCAGAGGTGGTCAGTCACTCATTGCCCTTGCCCATCTTCTCTGAGCCTTCTTCCATTACAGGAATTCATTCCTCATCAGGCACTGAGGCCACTATGAGGCCTCACCTTGAGTCCTTTGTGCACTTTTGGGCACCACAATATAAAAGAGACATTCAGCTATTAGACAGCATCCAAAGGAGGGCCATGAGGATGGTGAAGGGTCTGGTGGGGAAACTCCACTAAGAGGAGTGGCTGAGTTCACTTGGTCTGTTCATCCTGGAGGAGACTGAGGGGAGACCTCACTGAGGTCTTCAACATCTTCATGAGGGGACGCGAAGAGGTAGGTACTGAAGAAGTCCTTCGGGTTGTGGATGTGACCATTCACCAGCACTGTATTATTCCCCAGACACTGGGGGCTATGAAATCCTAGAAGTTTACCCTCCACCCTGATTTCAGCAGCTCCAGCTGTATGTGATTACCTTCACCTGCACTGTCCGTTGCTGAAGAAACAGACCCATCTGATGTGCTCTTCCAAATTACTGCTGATATCTAGTTTAGGGAGTGATAAACTGTGACACTGAAAAGCGGCTTTTTATTCACTGATTGTACAGAGGTTTAGACTGGCAGCTTGGCTGTAGGTATGTTCATGGTAGAGTGGCTGTGGTTGGGTGCAATCAATGCTGCCCTGTCTGGCACATCCTCAGGGTGTGTCCTTCCAGTGTTCCTTCTGCTGTCTGAGATGCAAGATTGTCTCTTTGTGGCTGGGAAGGCAGCCATGCCACCTGTTTGGGCCAGGAGAGGTGACGGCTGGGACAATGCTTGGTGGGGAAATGGTGGAACAGGAGTGAAGCCCAGAGATGCTGTGTGAGGAGTCAGGAGGAAGGAGTAATCCTGCCACCTTTCCTCTCCCTTTCCAGTGGCTCCCTTCTCCCACAGCAGTGACCAGCCCACAGCCCTGCAGGAGAAATTCACGGCGTGGGAGTGCGACTCAGCGGTGTCAGAAAACAAAGGTCAGTAGGGCTGGCAGGGGTACAGGAGGTCTTTGGGATGGGGACAATGAATGCTGAGGTCTGCTCTGACAGCAAGTGGCATCAGGAGGAGAGAGGCAGACTGCAGAGGAGGGAAGCAGGCAGAAAAAGGGTTTCCAGCTAAGAGCTTAAGGGGAGGAGAGGGCCATGTTAATGATGTCTTGGAGGGCATCGTGGATGTGAACTCCGACCAGACAAAGGGGACAGCACAGAGTAGCACAGGGGAGGTTAACAGTGGAGCAATAATAAAAGGGCAGCTCCAGTCAAGGAAAGAAGCAATATCCCCTGTTTCCTGGGGCTAAAGGCCTAAAGGAGACTGACTTGACAAGGAGAAGTCAAACCAGACCACCAAAATAATCTTGTGAAGACCTGCAAGGAGATTACCAGGATGTTGCGTACACAAACCTCACTGGTCATCCTCAAAGCAGTGGGGGAAAAGTATCTGTACTCTGCTTGTTTTTCAAGCACTTTCTGTCAGGAAAAGTGACTAAGGAGAACATGAGCACCGTCCCTGGAGAACTTGGATCTTTGCAATCACCATCTCTCTCTTGTTGCTAGCATTCATTGCATTCATTCTGTGTTCTCTCCCCACACAGGCCGAGGCTGGATGTGCTGCCCGAAGGGCTGGAGAAGGTTTCAAAACAGCTGCTATTTTCTGTCCCTTGATATGATGTCCTGGGCTGAGAGTGAGCAGAACTGCACTGGGATGGGCTCCCACCTGGTGGTGATCAACAGTGAGGAAGAGCAGGTACATGCACAGGGCTGAGGGAGGGGAGAGCAGCTACAGACACAATTCTGGGCCCTGGAGGGGACTCAGAGCCCCTCCTTGTCCTGCAATGGGTTCTGTTTGCCACCATCCCTACTCTACATGGACTCCTGATGCCTCCCTCTGATCAATCCTGCATCTCACAGGCATTGCACTCTCCCTCATTTCCAGGTTTTCCTCTCTAAACAGATAAAACCAGTTCTAAAAGCAGAGAATTTCTACATCGGTCTGAGAGCAGAGATTGTGGATCAATGGCAGTGGGTGGACAAGACTCCCTATAATGTAACAGCAGCGTGAGTATCCCTGGATGGAGGGGATTGGTGTGGCACCTGGTAGTGCAAGAAAGTAGGGAAGATGTGAGGGTGTCTATTGGTGTGTGAGAGGGAGGTATCACAAACTTGCCCTGAAGGCAGACACGTGTCTCTGCTGGGTGTGAAGTTCATGGGGTGAGTGGTGGTGATCAGTTCCCCCCAGAAGGAAGGAGCAGGGCCCTTCTGTGTTGGAAGGCTGTAGAAAGAAGGCAGGTTTCCACATGACACTTGTGCCAGTGGGATATCAGAGAGGGAGGAAGGGTACATCTTCTGTCCATGAATCAGCATTGGGAATTTTTCTCTCTCCCCTTCAAGTCTTGCATCCCTCTGTGGCCTTTTCCAGCAGTGCTTTACAATGAAAGCTGGGGAGTAACATGCCTGTCTCTGTCTCAGGTTCTGGCGAAGAAATGAACCAAGTGATCACAAGTATGAGAAGTGTGTTGTAATGCATAGGGATTCAGAAATACCCAACAACTGGAATAATATCCAATGTCAGATGTTTTATCGGATTTGTGAAGCTGCTGCCGTAACTGTGTGATGGAAATACCCCCATCCTTAGTAAAAGTGGGAGATGAGCAGTGAGCTGAGACCGGCAGAGGGCTGTGCTGGAGGGGTGGGGAGCCCTGAAGCCTGCATCTTCACTGTGCCACGTGGGATAATGGAAGTGGAAGTGATACGACCCTTTGTCCAGCATCCCCAGTGCATCGAGGGGCTGAGGGAACACTTGAAGGCTGAGGGTCATCAAAGCAGGTCCTGTGTTCTTGTGTCCTCTTCTCTCTGAGTGGATTCAGAGGCCACTGGCAGAAAAGACATGGAGTTCTCCAGGAAGAAGACACAGGAATGGAAGACAGATGTCCTGAGCTGCATTTTCTTTCTCTCCTTGAGCAGAAGTCTCTGCTTTCTGTTGAGTCACATGCAGAATGTCCTCCAGTTGCACTGGTTTTGTTGAACAAGTTCTGAAATTTATACAAGAGAAAATACAGTATTAGACCAATAAAAAATCTCTGTGCAGTGTGTGTAGATCTGTCTTTCTCTCTTTCCATCTCTAATCTGCCGGGGTATAATCCTTGAATCATGGAATGGTTTGTGTTGGAAGGGACCCTTAAAGATCATTGGGTTACCAGCCCTGGGTCTTGAGCAGGGACACCTTCCACTAGAGCAGGTTGCTCAAAGCCGCATCCAGCCTGGCTTTGAACACTTGCAGGGATTGGACATCCACAGCTCCTCTGGGAAACCTGGGCCAGTGCTTCACCAATGTCACAGTAGAGGATTTCTTCCTGAAATCTAATCTAACCTACCCTCGTTCAGTTTACAGCCATGAACCCTTGTGCCATCACTACATGGCCTTGTGATAGGTCCCTCTCCAGCCTTCCTGTAAGCCTCCTTTAGGTACTGAAAGGTTGCTCTAAGGTCACCTTGGAATCTTCTCTTCCCCAGGCTGTACAAATGCTGCAGCCTGTCTTTAGAGGAGAGGTGCTCCAGCCCTCTGTCTCCGTTCCCTTTGCCTTCATCTCCATGGCTCTCCCTCTGGACTTGCTCCGATGGGAGAAGCAATCCACTCTGGGCCTTGAGTGCCACGTGGAGGAAGCAGTCCTCTTCCTAAGTCAGAGCTGATCCCAGGCTCACCTGATGCAGCAGCATTCCTGCAAGGCCAAATCCTCCGTGGTCCCTGTAAGAGGACCAGGCCAGGTCATGCTGCAGAAGAGGCTGCAAGGGGCAGGACAGGGCTGCTGCTGCACATGAAGTCCCTTCCAAAGGTTCATTGCCTATTGAATTGCCTTCATGTCCCACTGCAGACCATATGCCACCATGGATCTCACTTTTTCTCCACCCCTTTCCTGTGTCCTCACTTTTGTCTGCCCCCAGAAACATCATCGGCCCAAGTTTTCCTGACCAAATAGTGCAAGGTCCTCACATAGAGTGCAACTGGATGTGCAACCTGGTTGTGTGACTCTGTCCTTACTATGACAGTGAATGCTCTCTCTGTGTCCCAAAGAGAGAGAACTCACACTGGAGACAAGGTGACCAGGAGATTTGGCTTCCCAAGCCAATCAATAGTAGTTCTGTGAACAGCAGTGTGCGGTAGCTCTACATCTGCACCTCCAGACAGTAGTGAGACTGAGCGTGTCTCTACAATGTGTACACAGAGAGATACATATGGGAGAAAAAGGATGTACACATATAAGCAATCACACAGGTCAACGTAGGCAGAAAGCACTGATACCAACTCAAAGAGCAGCCTGATCCTGTTCCCCTCCCTGGCTGCCAGCAGGACAAAAGCCTGCCAGCAGGAAGAATGTATGTTTACATGTATACAATATGGACCTCTCCTGCAGTAAGGCTTAGTCATTCAGTCTATCCATAGCTGGCTCCTGCACCTCCTGGTCTTTCCTGTACTTGGTCTCATGACAGGCACGAGGAGAAAAAGATTGCTGTGGTAGCTGGCCAAGATTTTTGGACTTCCTAGAAGGTGCCTCTCAGACTCCGTGGTCTGCCTGGGAGCTGGCTTGGACACCTGGGCTCCTGCTCCATTTTCATTGATGTGTTTCCTGGGGTACATAAATGCCTGATGATGTTGTTTTTCTGAGAAGCGGGGAAGAGACTGGAATTCTTTTTTAAATCTAGCCACTCCCAATGATTGACAGGGGTATTTCCACTCTATAGGGTTGATACATGCAGGATTTGACTTCATTCCACGGGATACAGTCAGTAATACAAGCGGATGTGAAGAAGTGTCACAGACAGCTGTGAGAAAGCAGTGGTCAGCAGAGACTTGTGGTGGTATCAGGGACCTGGTGAAGTACAGTTCTGCAGAGAGCCTCCCTTTCCCTTCCTGATGTCCTGGTGCTCTCCAGCTTCACCGTGCAGACGTGTATCTTGTGGAGAACAAAATCCTTCCCTGCTGCCTTTGGAGTTAATGTTCTTTGGTGTCCTGTGGTGGGAACATGGCCACGGTGCTCTTCAGAGCCTCTTTGGGGCTGAGATGCTTCTCTCCCACTGGCTTTTTCCCAGTGAAACTTCATCTTTCCACACAGGTCTTACTGAACATACTTCTTTACACCGTTTTTCTTACTTTGTCTCAGACTCCTCCCATTCCCCTCTAGCTCTGCCCAAGCCCAGTGCTCTGGCTTTGAGCAAGACAGCACAAGTTACCTCTTTAGCCCTAAGTCATACATGTAGCCCAGGAGTTAATATACCTGCCCTGGAAACCCGCTGCTGGACAAGGACTTTCCTCTTCTGTTTAGGGAGTTCTATGAGACCAAGCTAATTCTCACAAAGCAGCATTTTAGTCACTTCTCCCCAAGTTTATTTCCATGTTGGCTTTCTTCTCCATGGTGTCTCCAAGGCATGCATCTGCCTCCCAAGGATTTTCTCTTCTCTGGTTTTAGTTCATTTCTCTAGTTTCCAGTCCTGGAGGCCTGGGGAACTGACTAATGTGAATGATGAAGGTTATATTGTCATCCACCAGAAGGCAGAAGTACAACAGAACTGGAACAAAATTCCACGGGAATTGTCTCCAAATTCCTAGATCTACAGCACCTACCGTCTGATGGGGGAAACCTCATTCCGAGTAAAACTGGATGACCAGGAGTCACCTGACAAGAACACAGAGGATTTTTGTAATGGGTGTGAATGCTGGAGCCTGCATCTTCAGTCTGCTGAGTGGGAATTTTGAGTGGAAGCAATACTGTCAGGCAGTGGGTGAGTACCAACCTTCTCTTCTCTGGTCTGAACAGTTCTAACATGCTGAGCCATTTCTCATATGAAGATCTAACCAGAAGATGCTTCATTTACCTTTCCAACAGGAGAGAACAATCCCCATGCCTTTGATAACTCCACAGAGCAGACCATATTCCCACTCTGTCTTGGACACAGTCACTCTGTGTCATGCTATCGCTACCAGTGCAAGGCTGGATATGCTGCACAGTGGGCCAAGGATGCTTTCAAAAATGTTGCTACCACATATTGGCTGAACAGATGCCCTGGAATGAAAGCAAGGACACAGGTTCACACATGGTGGGGATCAATACAGAAGTAAATCAGGTAAGTGGGAATCTTCCCATGGGAGTCTAATAAACAAATCCTCAAATCGTCCAGTGTTTGCTCTCCTGAAGACTCTGGTTGTGATTCTGGATTTTACCCTCCTACCTCCTCATAGGATCTTGAATTCCGACATCTCATAGTCACCACAGACAAGCTTGCCCCCAACCTTTACATCCCAAACAGCTCTTCCTCATTGATAAGCATGAGATCCAGCAGAGCACATCTCCTTGTCATTGGATCCTCCATAACCTGGGTCAGGAAGTTATGGTAAGGACGCTCCAGAATCCTCCTGCATTGTTTGTACTTTACAGCTGAAAACAGAGCTCAGAAACTGCAGCACAAGCTGCTAAGCCTGACAGCTGCCTCTGTGAGCTGCCCTCACATACACACTGCTGGGGCTCAGGGCTGTGGAGCTGGTTTTCATTCTGTGTGAGTGCAAAGCAACCAGACACATTGGAATCCCTCTTCCTGTGGGATTATTTCTCTCTTCCGGTATTGTCACACCGTGGTAGCACTTCTTCTGGGTTTTCTGCCTTTCTCTTTTTAGTATTTCCTTCTGGGCTACTTGCCTTTGTTTGACTAGTGCAAAGTCTTTCCCTTCAAATCATTCTGAATTCAAGAAAACTGGAAAGCAGGACTTCCTAGGGAATTCAAGTGGATGGAAAAATTGCCATCAACCCCTGAGAAAGAGAGAAATAGATTCAGCAAGTTCATTTCTGAACATGAGCATACTTGCCGTTTGTTGGTCCTTGGAACCCTCTGAAGTATTCTCCATCCTGCTTCAGGTGACTGGTTGCTTCTAAACCCAGGCACCTTCAGTGCTCCCAGCAGGTAATTGGCTCTGTTTCTGCCTCCTGAGTAGGAGTTCCAACTGATTTACTGTGTGGTATAGTTTGGCAAAAAAGCCAATGAAGTTTTATCTTCCTGCTTGTGGCTCCCAGTTCTCAGATCCTGACTATTTCCAAGGGAGGTGTCATTCTATGTCTTTTCCTAGAAGCTTGAGTGACTGCAACATTTTCCATAGGTCATGTCCCACTGACCGTGTATATATCCATGCCATGCTTGTTGACTTTTGTCTATACTTCCAGAGTCAGTGAAAGTAGATTCAGAGTTCTCCAGGGCCTCTTTTAGGAGGGCATTCCTTATGATCAAATAGCACTGCCTTCAGTGCTTCAGGTTCACGGCTTCCTGGCAATTCAGTCCTGCCAGGTGCCACCCTGTTGTTCCAGCACACTGATCTGACATATAGACTTGTGAAGTGAAAATATCAAGGGTCTCTCATGAAGTTCTTCCTGACCGGAACAGATAGAAAACCACAGAGAATCTTTCCTTAGACAACTGAGGAAAGATGTACGGGAAGATTGAGGTCACTGGTTCATGTTCTCCCCAAGCATGCTGCTCGTGTTTATGGAACAGGAAAGAGAAATAAATTGCTGGCAGTTTGGAAATGTTGCACTGGTTCCAGAGCCTTCCACTGAGGAGGTAATCTCTCCCATCCCTGGTCCCAGCTACCTGGCACCAGGACTACTGAGGAATTTCTTTGCAGGCCAGTGCACAGTTTGGTTACTATCACCATTTTGAGAGTCTTCATTTCCAAGTTAGTCACCTGAATGCTCTGAGAACAGCTGTTTGATTTCCTGGGAAGAGCAGTTTGGTTTGTGATGCTGAAAAAAAGTCCTTTGCTGTCCCTCTGCTTTAGAGCTTTTGCACACACCCAAGTGAATTCTTGTGAGGGTGTTTGAACAGACCTTCATGTTGGTCAAATGGCCTGCATAGCAGCAGGTCATAAAATAGGTATGTAAGTGCAAACAGCTGTGTGAATTGAATACTTGAAACTAATTGAAGGGGCACTTGCCCCAAAACCACTGCAATTAAAGTAGAACAGGACCACCAGGTTAACAGTAATTGGGGAATTAGCAAAAGGCTGCTGAGAAAGAGAAGAATCAGTCTGAAAACAAAGTTTAGAAGAAACAAAAAC